ACACACACACACACACACACACACACACACACACACACACACACACACACACACACACACACACACACACACACACACATAATTAGAGGCCTATGCACACACTAATAATTCATATCAATATTCAGTACTGTGTAAACACACTTATCTCAAATTTCCTGTTTTAAGAAATAAATGTTGATTGTCAAATGATTAAAAAGAATTGCAAACACACACCTTAAATCCTTGGCCAGTCTCTGTCCTTCCTCTGTTGTCACCTCCCTGCCGATTTCCAGGTCCGCCTTATTCGCTACCAGCACTGTAGGTACAACTGACACACACACACACACAGAAATATAGTGACAATAAACCGGCAGGATGATGCTATGGCATGCAGGGCTTACCTACAGATCACAGGACGGCCTACCATACATGGACTATATGTGTGTGTGTGTGTAAAGGGGACAATAGACAGATGTCAGCTGGAGTTAGAGCAGAGCCTCACTGGACTTTAAGAGCAAACACAGTGAGCCGACTGTTCCTCTTGAGATCACACTGCTGGTTCAGTAGTTCAACAGCTGCTTCATTTGTCTCTTAGTCGTCCTTAACACAAATATACAGTCGTGACTAGTGATGCTGACATTATATACTGTGTGAAAACACACACTGGAGAGTCCAAACTATTTTACTGTCAGACTATCTGATGTCACTGAGACTGGACTGTTTTTGGACTTGATGAGGAGAACGATAGCTCCGTACCCAGACTCTGTTTGGTTTGCTCGATGAGCTTCTTGAGTCGCGGGACGTCCTGGAAGCTGAGGCGCTGTGTGATAGAGTAGAGCAGCAGGAAGCCGTCTGCCCAGCGGATGGACGACTCCAGAGACGCCACAGAGCTCTCCTGGAGGAGATAACGTGTTGGAGACACTGACAAATGTCAAACCTCATTATATTTAATGGTGCAAACAAAGGAAAGGTTACACACTTTGACAAATGGAGCTCCTTCCCTTTCCAAACAGAAGCCAACATTTACCTTACAAGCTATATCCAAAATCTCCAGATCAACAGCTTCCTGGTCCAGCGCCCGACTGCATCTGTAGGTCACCTCTGTGGTAAAAAAAGACACAGACACATTTTACTCGTTTAATCCAGTCAGTAACAAGTAATGCACGGTCATATTATTTCTTCGTTTTATTGCAATACATATTTACCCTTTTTACGGTCGTATTCACCGATGAAGCGTTTGGTTATGAAACGAACACACAGTGCTGGAGACACAAGACAGACACAAACAGAGTGAACTGCCAGAAGCACACACTAACTAATAATCCCCTTCCATAATGCACACTCACACACACACACACACACACACACGTTTGCATCTGATCTGCAGCCTACGGTAAGTTGTGGCATCCTTGCTTTGAAAATGATCCTCTTAGTAATGCTACCTGCCTTGTTTAAACAAATGCAGGAGTGCTTTCTCTGTGTTTGGGTGGACGGGGTCTGGACGGTTTGTTTGACGTATGCGTCTGGTGTTTGAGGGTTTCTCTGTATTTCCTTCTGGCAGCGCACATCAGCAGGTTATTTAGGCCTGTTTATTTGAGCCCTTACAGCTGAAGAAAGAGCGATGAGTTTGCATTTAAAGGAATTAAAGCTCGTTGTCACATCTGCATCTCCCCTTGCAGATATAGTTGATATTAATATTATAATAGTCTAAATGCGATGTAATGATAATCTACAGTATACAACTTTTGTTCGAGGTCCTGTTGTAACCTTCAGTTTACTCGTTCTTTCGTTTTATTGTAGGAAAACAACCCAACAAGTCACTTACGTCACTATTAAATTCTGCAAAATGAGCACATCAGTTTATAATGAAATCATGGCTCATGCATGAACACAAATTCATTTCTCACACTGATCTATTTTCCCACCATGGGAAGATTTGACACAAGCCAGAAGACAGACGTGGTGGGGTCAACGTTAGACCTGTGCAAGCTTTCCATATTTAGGCAAAATCTTTTCGACCGTGACCAGAATTTAACCCTAAACTTAACCTCTTTTATTTGCCAAAACTGTGAAAAAAAAACATGACCATGTGTCCAAACTAAGCTACTGTTACATAATCCAAAATTCCCCATCCTGTCTCTCTCTTCTCTGCATATTAATGTTTGTAATTTACCTGTTTTTCCAGTGTTCTGAGCTCCCAGAATGAGAAGTTTAACTGGAACCATCTTCTTGTTGGGTCCAGTAGTAGTCTGCCGTCTGTCCCCGCATGAGGAAACCCTTCAGACGAAAAGAGGAAGTGGAGTCAACTTTCAAGTTTAACGACGAAACTACATGCAGCCTCGTGAAAACAAACTTCATGTGACAATATCTGTAAAAAGACAAATGCATCGCTGAAAAAGTAGTACTGCTACACTACAGGTTGCAATAATACTGACCTGTATGTAGGAATAACTTCCAGAAATGGAGAGGTGTATGATAATGAACTCACTGTGTTCAGTCTCAGACACTGAGCAGACAGGGAATGGAGAGATGGGACTGTCTTCTCTCTGCTTCTGTTTAGATACAAGAGCTCTCTCTCTCTCTCTCTCTCTCTCTCGCTCTCTTTTGGGAGCAGTATATGACAAGAGCCATTTGTCTGGAGGAACTTTGTCCAACTCCACCAAAGTCTAAAGGACTCATTTGATGTTTTGGGAAATGGTGCTCATGGTGTGGTGTCATTCCTCTCATCTAATTAACTACAACTTGTATTAATGATGGGGATCCGTCCTGAACTCACTGCTGGAACTTGTACTTAAGGTCTTTCTTTTACACAAGAGCTCCAAAACAAACACAGCTCCAAAGCAAACAGCTCATTAATGTCTTCATTATTTACTTTGCTCGTGCAGTGGCCGTGGTCTGACCTCTGGATCCTGCAAAGACCGCCTTCTGCGAGAAGCCAGATTTGAGCATATTTCATAGGAGAGAATTTGGCAAACGCTGCCTGGACAGATCTGACATTTGAATGTGTGAGGGCTTTGTTTTCGGTTGAAGGGGCAGAAGATAAGAGATCACAACTTTTAATATGTTATACTGCACTGAAAGATACTTTTACTATGATAATCTTATAATGATAGACAAAAAGATCACATCTAATACTGAGGTTTGTAAGTCTTAAAGCCTAAATATAATAAATAAACAGGTGACGGAGTGATAAAAGACACAAGCAATAAATGAAAACCACTCAAACTGGAGTAAAGACATTTGTAAGATTTTATTCATATTTCATACATTTTCTTTTAATACGCTTTTTTCAACAAAGCTTGTTCACAGGAGTGACAACGAATGAACCGTATGGTACAAGCATCGAGGACAACTTTAAATTAAGGAGCAACACTGAGTTTGTCTGAGTCGTTGTGTGTTGTTTGAGCGGAGGAGGGAGAGTTGTACTGTGTGTGGAGGTCTCGAGGTGTTCAGCACACTGACGGCTCGTCGACAGCGGCGGCTCCTTCGGTTATGGCTTTGACGCATTTGGCCATCGTCTGGGAGGCCCTGCTGATAGAGTCTGGACACAGAGAAGGACGGGAATAAGAAGATTATGTTTCTATTCTGTGTGTTTTTCTATTTTCTGATTGTGTTTAAAAACACACCTGTCATGTAGAAGTCCTTTGCCGTTAGCTGAGGTGGCATCAGAGGAGTTGCTATGAGGTCCTGGGTCACAGCCTGCGAAGGATCAGAGACGGAGTTATTTCGGTGTTCTTTCCTCGGCATTATAGACAGCGCGACTCTATGGATGTTTTTGTGCGTGTACCTGAGCGAGCTCGTTGGCCTGTTTAAAGTAGTTCGCCTCCTCTACGTCGTCATAATGGACCAGATTGGGAGAGAGCTCGGCTAGTCTGGATCGGACCTCCTCCAGAGAGTCGTAGTGCAGCGTCACGCCAGCCAGCTGCAAAAACACGCAAAGACGTCACTTTTAACGGCCGCGCCTTTTGGTCAGATTTGTACGCGACATGCGAGTGACCTCCTGCTTACTTCAGATACGGCCCTGATGATCTTCCAGTCCTCTCTGGCCATTCCAGGAGCGGTGACAGCCACCCGGGTGTGCTGGCTCCGGCCTTCGGTGTTGACGTACGTGGCGTTCTTCTCCGTGTACGCAGCACCGGGAAGGATGATGTCTGCCATCGGTGCGCCTACGTCCCCATGGTGACCTGGAGGGGTTGAAAAAATGATCTTTAAAATGTATTCACACTCTCGTGGTTACCGCCAATCGGGTGTACGCTTTGTGCCGCGCGTGCGTACCCTGGTAGATGATGAGGCTGTCTTTGGGCAGGTCGGCTCTGGTGATGCAGCCAGCGTCGGCTCCCAGCAGGAACAGAACTTTGGGGGGGTTTGCCCTGATGGCGTCCACTCCGGCCTTGTAGCCCAGGTCCAGCGCAGCCACCTGACTGGCCACTCTGCTCACACAAGTATGAGCAGGAACTTTACATGTGAAACGATTTGCCGTGACAGCCTCAAATGAGTGTTAAGAGGATTGCCAGGTTGTACCTGTGCAGGACGTTGAGGACCTTCCAACCCTCCTCGACTTCACTGCTGGTTCTGGCGTTGTGAGCGATGGTGGAGACGGTGCTCAAGATGGCGGCTCCGTCTTCTCTCTGCAGAGCGCCGCTACCCACAACCACCACGGGACGCTTAGCGGCTGACAAGACCTGGAGGCGGGGAGAGGAGAGGAACGTTTCAAGTGAAAGTTGCCAGAAAAGAAAAGTCCCATCAGTTCATAAATCGGCATCAAAGCTCCCTCCGTTGTGCTCCACGTCAGAGTGCGTACGAGTCCATTACCTGGCAGAAGGGGTGTGTGCCGTCTGCCAGCTCCTTCAGCACCGAAGTCTCCTCTCCCAGATGGTCGTAGGAGAAACTCAGATCAACATTGTGACCCACCATGGCAACACGCAGCTCATTGTGGAGCCAGCTGACACGGGAAGAGGAGGAACAGAGACAAGACACGATTACAGAACTTTGACTTTATCCGGCAAAAGCAAAGACCGAGCTGTGTCCAGGAAACAAAACAACACTGAGTTTACCTCTTGCGGATGCGGGCGTTGAACAGCGGGGCCTCGTAGCGCGGGTTGGTTCCCACGAGCAGCAGCAGGTCGCAGTCCTCGATGCCGGCGATGCGAGAGTTCAACAGGTAGTTGGAGCGAAGGTCGGTGCTGCGGGGAGAGAAAGGAGTTTGTCAGCCGCTCAGTTTAAGAGGCCGCGGGGACTCTGTACGCTACATACTCTTATCTTCAAACCAAGTCTTACCCGGCCCCCGACATGGGGAAGACCTCCTCGGTGCAGAGGTTTTCTGAGTTGAGTCTGTTGAGGAGGTCCTTGAGGCACACCAGAGCTTCAGCGTCAGCCAGCCCTCCGACAATGGCCGCCACCTCACTGCCGTGCACGCTCTGCAGCTACACACACACACACACACACACACACACACACACACACAAAACAAACATATTTATACATACAGACTCAGATATGACAATACAACCAAAACGGGATGCGTGAACAATAAGGCATGAATATCACCCGTCTCCTAATCGACAAAAGGAATAAACGGGCCGATTCAACGAGACTTACTGCTCCAGCAACGCGAGAAAGAGCGTCCTCCCAGGTGGTCGGGGTCAGCTGACCGGAATCGCTCTTCACCATTGGTTGGGTCAACCTCTGTCTCTTCAAACCATCATATGCGAACCTGAGGACACACAGGTTTGGGGGGGGGTTTCCTTTCTCTTTAAAACAAGCTTGCAACACATGGGATGTTTCCAGTATTTATTTTACAGACAGCGTATCTAGTGAGACTTGTTTCATTTCTTTAAATCAGTCAGAAAAATGTTTCCTGGCCTTTAATTCACCTGGTCTTGTCAGAGATCCATTCTTCGTTGATGTCTTCGTTCAACCTGGGCATCACCCTCATCACCTCCCCTCCTCTTGTGCTCACCAGGATGTTACTGCCCACAGCGTCCAGCACATCAATCGACTCGGTTTTCCTGCAAAGACGGCATGAGATGAAGTTAAAGAAACCGGTACGACTGGACTGAATTCACTTTAAACAGTAACTGTCCGATCCCGTCCTACCTGGTCTCCCACGGCCGTGCGGTGAAAGCGTAGGGTTTGGAGGTGAGCGCTCCGACGGGACAGATATCGATAACGTTGCCCGACAGCTCCGACATGAACATCTTCTCCACGTATGTCCCGATCTGCAGGTTGTTCCCTCTTCCCGTCGTTCCCAGGTCTTCAACACCTGCGATCTCACTGGCAAAACTGCAAAAAAAATAAATAAAAACAGGAACACATGACCGTGCTGTGAGAGGATCTCATATATTACACCAACGCGATTGTTATACTATTCCCTGGGGATGTTTCTGATGCACTTACCGGACGCAGCGCGTGCACTGGATGCAGCGGGTCATGATGGTTTTGATGAGCGGCCCGATGTTCTTGTCCTCCACTGCTCTCTTCCCTTCTGTGAAACGACTGCGGTCTGAACCAAACTGCATGGACTGATCCTGAGAACGCAGCAGGTAGGAGAGTCAACACAGTAGAAAACGGTAGTACCCTTAGAATGAAGGTTAAGTCCTAAACCAAGGTGTTTATATCCGGTATATATATATATTCGGTCCACAGTTACCTGGAGGTCACACTCTCCTCCCTGATCACAAATGGGACAGTCCAGCGGGTGGTTGGCCAACAGGAACTCCATCACTCCCTCTCTGATGAGAGAGACACACGTTCATCAAGCAAGTTTCAACTGTGTATTTCCTTAGTTTGACTCACTTGTGAATATTTTATTTAATCTGTACCTGGCCTTGCGTGTCTTCTCTGAGTTGGTGAGGATGTTCCAGCCCTTCATGACGGGCATGGCACAGGCTGCTACTGGCTGAGGAGCAAACACACACACACGCATCAATTAAGACAGCAGTGATGCAAGCATTTACAGCTATTTCTAGACTAATGTTTGAAACTCTTCAATTTTCAGCCAAATAGCTACTTATGTGATATATCAGATGCACTTCGTTACCTTCGGAACTTTCTCAATCTCCACCAGACACATACGACAGTTTCCCGCCACCGAGAGTCGCTCATGGTAGCAGAACCTGGGGATCTGCATTCCTGCCTTCTCACAGGCCTGATGGGGAAAATAAATGGTCAAGATGAGGCGGGACATTCTTTAAAAGATCAAATTATGCAGACAACAATCCAATATACAAAACAGTCTCAAATCCATCTTTGTCCACATTTAAAGAACACAGATGGCCTACTGGTAACTACGTACACACAAAAAAATACAGCGTACAATATGAAGGGACCGTATGAAACATCTGCAGTAAAATAATCTGATGTTTCTTACCTGCAGCACAGTAGTTCCAGGCTCCACATCCAGTGGTTTCCCGTCTACAAACACCTCCACCATGTTGCTGGCAGCACGCACCGAAGTACGCACTGTTTGTGGAAATACAAAAGGTCAAATGTACTTTAGATTAATTAAATGAAACGTATCTAATAATATAGTCTTACCGGTGCTGGAGGGAGCCAGGCTGCTCTTGGCAGCTCCGGCTAAAGCCCGGCCGACGTGTGGCAGTCGCAACATGACTCTGAGAGGAAAACAGAAAGAAAGCAGTCAACATATGAGCTAACTTTAATCTGATATGAGTATTTTTATGTATTTTCTTGCAGATTCAATTTCTGTTGATCAACTAAAATTGACAGTTAAGTAAGAAGACATGGCTGCCAGATGTTTTTTGTCAAACTGTCATAATCTCTGTTCTGCAGAAAATATGCTCTTAAAATGAAATCGCTTGAAGTTATTGCACAACCTTTTTTTTTTTTGCTACAACACTATTTCAAGGTGAAATGTCTGGGATCCAGAATATGTTTTCTGTTTCAACAAAATAACTATTTTTTTTAAAGAAGAGGTTGTAAAATTCCCCCCCAAAAATAGCAATATCCAACATTAGTAGAGCCCTTCCTTTATTGGGGCAAGACATTATGTCATTACATTATCATGCTCAGATTTCATGCAAGGTGTAGCTGCAGGTCTAGAATACAAATATTTACTGTGTTGAAGTTTTGAATTTTGTCAACAACAAATGATGTTGTCACTAAAACATGTAGTTAACGTTTCAAGTAGATAACGCACAGAGACAAAAAGCAGACATTTGGAAACATATCGACATAACTAACATGTCGGCCACCATTGTATACGATTTATCAGCTTATGGGTACAGGAGAAGACTCATGTAACATGGACCTTCCAACGCTTACAGGCTAGCAGCGTTAGCTAAGAGCACCACTCAAGGACACGGGCATTGCAATGCTGTCGGAGGGTTACAGTGGGTAATGAGGTCAAACACGATCATTTCCTCTGGTTTTGCAATTAAATAACAAATAGAGTAAAACGTGCATAAGTGCATAATGTCATTCTGATTCTTACCTTTTCGCTATTTGGCCTTCTTGACCAGAACAGCGGTTATCTGAGTTGTACTACCAGTCAAATAGCTATGGCGTAATTAGCGGAAATAGAATAGTGTCCTACTTCCGTTAAAATATTTCACAATAAAAGTAACATCTTCACGTTCTCAATATGAAACTAACCATATATAATACTTTATTTTACTTTAGTCATGTTGTATTAGTTCAAACCATGTATAGTGTTGCATCACTGAAGGAGATCTTTTTTTAATCTTTTATTTTGTACTGAAGGCGATCCTCTCATTTTAGACTACATTTCCCATGGTGCACCGGCTGATACCGGAAGCATCTACGTGTTCATTTTCGCGACAGATCAGGAAGCGTCTACAAATAGCTACATAAACGAGCCAGAGTTGGGGCTTTCTCCTACTAAGGAGTACAGCAAAAACAGGTGAATATTATCCAGAGTAAATAAGTTTAGTTGTTTAAGTATTACCAAATAGTTACTGCTGCGTTTACTAAGTATTCTACAAATGAAACTGACCAGGCCTTCTTATCTTATTAAACTAGTTAGCGACAAGCTAACATTGTCTGCTAGCAAACACAGCGTCAACCAACATAACATTGATATGTCAGTGCTTTGTGGGGATACAACGCATAGTGAGCAGTAAATAAACAGTGTATTTGGTTTATTTAGGATCGAAAATATGTATAATTTAGAAGTGTTTAATGTAACTTAGAGCATATGTAGCAAAGGTTAGCGATAGCATCCTCTGTTTCTGTGTTGTCATTTTTTAAAAGAGGTTTATAAACCTCATGTATATCGCCCTAATACACATACATATACATAACATATTATATGCTTATAAGTTTAAAAACTGCATATAAAGTGTTTTTAATATAATCACTGTAGACTGGAAGCTTTGGAGCAGACTAAGGTTCAAAGTGAGAGTGATGCATCAGGTTATAAAACTGAGCATTTTAACCCCAGAATGTTGCATGATACAGTGCTCATCAGTTTAGTTGCATTGGTTTATCTGCTCAGGATGTTTCCTCCCCTTCCCCACTTGTCCTTACCTCCTTTTCCCTCTCATGTGACACTCAGCACCATGTTGCCGACCACCTCACCGAACAGCAATGGCGCCCTCGGTTCGAGCGACACCGCGCGCCACACGGCAGGCTTCAAGCGCTACAAGTACCTGCGACGGCTGCTCCATTTCAGACAGATGGACTTTGACTTCGCCTTGTGGCAAATGCTTTACTTGTTCACGTCGCCGCAGAGAGTCTACCGCAACTTCCACTACAGGAAACAGACCAAGGACCAGTGGGCCAGGGACGACCCGGCTTTCCTGGTCCTGCTCGGCATCTGGCTGTGCGGTAAGTCTGCGATCGGTGAAGCGTTGGATCCAGATGTTGTCGCTGTGCTGCGATGACTCAACGCTCCCTCTATTCCTCTGCAGTGTCAACAGTAGGCTTTGGGCTGGTGTTGGATATGGGAGTGGTGGAGACTCTGAAGCTGCTGCTGTGGGTGGTTGTTGTTGACTGTATAGGAGTTGGGCTTCTCATATCAACCCTCATGTGGTGAGTAGAGGGTTTGCCTAGTTGAGGGGCATGTTTTTGTGTGTATGTAATTCTTGTTTCTGCAGCTAATGTTAAAATTGAAGTCTTATAAAGACCTAAATATTATGTATTCTGTCTTTTTCAGGGTTATCAGCAACAAGTACCTGTTGAAGCATCCCAGCAGAAACTTTGATGTGGAGTGGGGCTACGCATTCGATGTTCACCTCAATGCCTTCTACCCTCTTCTAGTCATCCTGCACTTCCTGCAGCTCTTCTTCATCAACCGTGAGTAGCTTGAGGCTTTTTGGGAGTTATTTCAGTGTCTCCCAAATTACATCTTCCAAACCAAGGCGTGAAATGGTCTTTAGTACAGTTAAAAGTGCATTTTATGTGTTCAATTAAGATTTAAAACCAAATACCTTCGAGCTGCATAAGTTTATTTAAAAATGATACTTATGATAATCGTATGTGTATTCATGTAGTATAGATTACACCTGCTTCCTTCCTTTGTCACCACACTCACAGTTTGTTTTGTGTGTTTCAGATGTTGTGGTAATAAACTCAGACTGGTTCGCGGGATACTTTGTTGGGAACACTATGTGGCTGATCGCCATCGGTTATTATCTCTACATCACGTTCTTGGGTTACAACGGTAAGAACCAATATTGCAGCGAAGAGACGGATCAGATCGGGTTGGACTAATAACGTCTGGTTGTATTTTGTTCTGTCCTTAACAAGAACTGTCTCGGTTAATAGACAGTCAATTCATTTTCAACCGTTTAGATAATTGATAAGTTGTTTCAGACGTTTTTCAAGCAAAATGAACAAACATTTGCAAGTTGCAGCTTCTCTGTTGAGAGGTTTTGCTGTTTACTCCGCTGATTGGACAAAACTGCCTATTTGAAGACAGCAACTTGGGTTCCAAGTAGTTGTGACGGCCATTTGTTTGACCATTCTGAGGCATTTTATAGACTGAGCAATTAATTTTATTGGTTGGAGTGTTTATTTCCATCTAGGGGTGAAGCAGCAGTCTCCGTTAAACACAGTTTGTTCCCTATAAAGGAATGTCATGCACATTTCAACGTGACTTTATAAGATCTATCACGTCGGCACAAAGCGGCCGCTGATGTGTTCGTCTTGTGTTTCCCCACACAGCTCTACCCTTCCTGAAGAACACCGTGGTGCTGCTCTACCCCTTCGCTCTGCTCGCACTTGTTTACGTCCTCTCCGTCTCTCTGGGCTGGAACTTCACTCAGGGCCTCTGCTGGTTTTACAAGTACAGAGTCCAGTAGGACCGGTTTGTCTCTGAGGTTGGACTCTAGTCGGCTCCAGGCCGACTCAAAATCTGTTTCCAACTCACATCTAGGTGTCAAGAATGAATTTCCAGCTTCTGTTTGTCAACATCTGGATCGGGAAGGACTCTGGTGGACTCTCCGTGAACTGGGACGCTGAGCTGGTCGACTCTCAATTGACTGTTAATTTTCTGTCTGGCTCTTGTGTTGAGCTCCGATGTCGGTGAACAGGGATGTGTTTGGACTCTAGTTGCGGAAAACAGGAGGATACAGCTTTTATTGTTCTTTTTGTATGATTTGTAAATATTCTGGCAGGTTGTAATATATACACAGAGGATTGTTTCTGAAGAGGAAAACATTTGCTTTGTTTCTTTGAGTTTTCTTTAAAAAGAAGAAATAATCCTCCTTATTGAAGAGATAAAAAGGAAAGTGGAGGAACATGGGAATGACACTTTTTTTCACCCCCCTTTCTGTTTTTTCTTAAAGTGTACATTCCAAAGCACTTCCAATAAAAGGTTTTATTAACTTAGGTTGACTCTGTTTTTCTTTCTGGACGAAGAAACGCCATTATCTTATTCGATGTCATTAGACTCATGTTGTGATCCTGTGTCTTTATATTTACTATATACAGTAGAACAACCATCAGCAACAATCTTCCATTACATTTCCTTAATTATAAGGAAATAGTTCAGAGACTGTACACACAGTATTAACTCATTTATTTATTTTTAAAAGAACCATACGTACATAAATTCATACATAGTTCATAAGCAGTTGATGATTTCCAGAGCAACTCACAATATGAATCGACATCTTTATACTCGAGTTAAACGCTGCAACAACCAGTGAAAAAGCCAATTACACCTTTAATAATCAAAGTCCATAGAATACAATAGAAAACCAGAAAAATAAGATATGACAGGAAATATGAAATAAGTGAAAACATTATCATAGACGACCTCCATTCCGAGTCTTCTATCACAAGTGGGAATAATCTCCCTCATGTTAAAGAGAAACAAACACAGAAGATTAGATATTTGTAACGTATACACAAACAATATAACGAATGAGTCATCAGGCAATCCACTTCTAATGAATACAAACGCACAAATGTTTAAAATATCAACAATACAGATCAGATCATCCGCTCCTTGTGTGTACCTCTTTAACAGACGTCATGCTATTTCAGTGCATTCATCAACAGCTGTTTGAACTTGTCCAAGTCGATGCTCTTCATAACGAAGACCTTGTGCTTCTTCTTCAGCAGGCCCATGTAGTCCAGCACCATCATGCCTCGGGTGTGCTTCCCCTCCAACTCCACTGTCACCGCCACCTGGAGGAGGAAGACGAAGAAGAAGTCTTTGGATTTGTTTCTGCTAAAAACTGTCAAAACATGTCAGCGTCCAACGGGATGTATGCAGCATTTGAACCTCTTCGCTCTCCGTCAGCAGAGTGTCTTCGATGGCTGCAGCCAAAGCGTAGGTGTCACAGGTGTTGAACCCGGGTCCTGACACCAGCTCCTTTTGATACCGATCAGTCTGGACCATCTGTACTCACCAAAAGAAAAAACAGGAGACACACAAGTGACATTTTATTCTGAATTCTATATTTCAGTGTTTTTAAATAAAATAACCGTCGTACCGTCCTGGTGTGGAGGTAAATCTTCTCCATGAAACGAGCCTTGTCCGTGTCCTGGGCCAGCCAGGTGTCGCAGAAAGACTGAGGGAGACGGGATGGAAGTCAAGCACTCGTCTTTTTGCATTCCACAACACTGGTGTGACTCAACTATGTGGCTTGTTGTGGTTAATTACAGACCCACGGCAGGCTGTTCCTGCAGCTGAACTCTCAGGTGGTGATGTAGGTGGGACAGGTGTATCGGTCCAGCACGATGTAGGCCGCCTCGGGGTCAGCCACGAAGTTAAACTCTCCGCATACTGTGGTGTTACCCCTGGCTACACACACACACACACACACACACACACACACACACACCAGATACATCTCTCGTCATTATCACAATGTAAAGTTAAACGCGTACAGTGGATGTTAACTCGCATGTTGACCTACATTCATTGTTTCCTCCCATGATGTAGACCGCCTTCAGGTTCTTGGAGAAGGAAGGGTTCAGTTGTGCAGCGAGGGCCAGGTTAGTGAGGGGCGCCGTGGCCACCAGAGTCACCTGCACACAGTACAAGTGAGAGGAAAACGTGAAGACCAGTTCAACTTATCGATCATGTACCATCTGCTGTAGCAATTCGTTCACCTTCTTCCTGTAGATGCCTCCCATTATATGAATAAGAACGTTTTATATCAGCCCAAAGTATGAGTTCTTACAGCTTACTCTCACAGTCTAAAGTCAGCCCCTTTATGTCACTCTCCACCATTCAAACCAGTTGGTTGAACCACAAAAAAAAGCACATCCTGCTGTCCCATTTTGATAAGTTATCTTATCCACGTCTGGGTCAAGATAACAGAACAACTAAACATTTTCGGCTTTGTCTATTTGTGTCTGATTTCTCCTAAACTCACCAAAAGGCATAAGATAATGCCTCATTTTGCATATTCAAACAGAGACTTTCCAAAAGACTTGTAATACTTGTCATACAATAAATAATAAATACAAATAAATAATAAGTTTCATAATTATTTTCACCCTATCCACATGTGATGGCTCCCTTTAGGTAAAAGGCATCAAATAAGGGTAAGTGCATGAATAACAGACTAAATATATATATTATACCATTTCTAGGGAAGACCTGATGGAACAGTTGTCATCATGTGTTATGTGCTGCATTGATACAACAGTCTCAAAGCTCTCCACCATCTCCTCACCTCTCCAGGGTTTGGTTGACAATCTTGACTATGGCCGGCGCAGCTTTCCTCTTCTGCAGCAGCTCCAGGCCCGGAGCGTCTGGATCCGGGGCGTCGCCCAAACCGTCCTTCCCGTGGAAATCCCCAGCGTGGCGTTTGCGGTCCAGCAGTGGCTCCGAACAGCCTCGGAACACTGGGATCTGAGGAGCATGACAGGTTTTAGCACGCGCTGGGAGCCATCACTACATCATACAGCTGTGACCCGACACGCGCTCTTACATCCAGCCGGTTGCAGGCTTTCAGGACGCGCTGCGTGTTCTTGCAGGAGTTGTCCAGGGGTGTGTTCCCATGGCTGCAGGTGATCGCCAGGATCTCCACGTCGGGGGCTGCGAGGGCCATCATGATGGCCTGAGCATCGTCCACCCCGGTGTCCACGTCAATGATCAGCTTCTTCTTCATCTCGTCTTAAAGGAATGGAAGAAGAAGAAGGAAGTGTATTCAGAGGATACATGTTGTCCGCCACAATCAGAACAAACAGCCATTTCCTTTGGAGTAAATACACCTGTATTGTATACTGTGTGAGCCTTAGCTTGGCACTTGCTGGTAAAAATAATCTTGCTCAACTAATTCTTCATTGATTCCTTAATAAACAGGATGAGAAACCATTCAGCGGTAGAGAGCAAAGAGATGAAGTTACCAGTCCAAAACAAGTTTCAGCCACAAAGTGTGATCCTTTTCAAAAGTCAACTGTGGAGTGAAACTTCTCTCTGCTGCACCCTGTTTCTTATACAACAAAAAACAAGGTTATGTAACAGGACACCACATGCATGTGGGCTGTTAGGTTAAGGCAAGCAAGAAAAACATGTTTGAGGGGAGTAACAGTGTTTAGTCTCCTCCTCTTACTCCTACTATTGAAGTATTTTTGTTTTAGTCTATAAAAAGTTGCTTATTCATGCATTAATTAGGTTATTGGGCATCTTTGACACGGATCAATTGTGTCTCATGTTTCAGTGCAATCACGCATTTTTTCTTTTGCTCTCTTTTGAATCCTGGCAACTACGCACACTATTAGATTTCCATTTGTTTCCTACTGCTCTGCTAAATCACACCCTTATTTGAACAAAAGGGAAAGACAGAGAGAGAATTTCCTGTTTTTGCATTTGAAGGGATTTTTTTATTGCGACCAGGCAGGAATCCGAGAATAGCCCGCACAAAATGAAAAAAAAGACGCCACAGATGCTTCAGCCGTGTTTTTAAAAATGAAAACAAGAACAAAATACTGCTTTGTTACGCTTTATTCATTAAGGTGAAGCAAAGTCAGGCCCTCAGCATGTGACAGAATCATTCTACTTCAGTGAATTCGCGAACATCTGCTTGAACTTCTCCAAGTCAACTTGCTCCATCACGGTGGCCTTGTGTTTCTTCTTGAGCAGGTCCATGTAGTCCAGCATCATCATGCCTCGGGTGTAGGTCCCCTGCAACTCCACCGACACTGCAACCTGGTGGAGGAACACGAGACGTTGTCGGGTCAAGATCTGAGCTGCTTTGTATTTTTAAAGACATTAAAGCGGCAGATGCTCACCTCGTCACTCTCCGTTATGAATGTGTCGTCGATGGCGGCAGCCACGGCGTAGGTGTCGCAGGAATTGAACCCACTTCCCTCTGTGACCTCCTTCTGGTAGTCTGGTGACTGAGCTTTCTGCAGAGACAAGACATCAGTCAGCTGCCACTAGAGGGCAGCTTTCATCATGAGCATTTAAAGATACACAGAGCACTCAATCATGTCAATCATGTCAGGATAAAATGAACGACAAAATCTTGGGATATGGTTGCTAACAAACAGTTTGGAGATTTTAACAAATGTTAAAGGATTTTAGAATTTGGGGCTATGTGATCTATGTAGTTTGACTCATTGTCTTTTGGGTGATTGTAGTTGTAGTAGATTAGAGTTAGCTGTTGCTGGCACATTTAGTGGTGAATGTTGGAGGGGTCATTCTTTCCTGGGGGGCCCCAAAAAAGGCTTGTGCCGGCCCTGGTGAACATATTTGACGTATGAGAAATATAATTTGACCACATCAGAACATTTCCTTGGTGCATACATTGGAGAGGTGCTGTAATGGGCAGTGGTGCATAATAACCCCTCTGAGAACATCGTTATCTGTTTGTGCCGACATGCTCTGCGTTGCATTCTGTACTGTACAACCTGACAATGAAGCAGGTGACGTTATGTCCGTTTCTGCACCCAATCTCTTACCTTCATCCAGAGGCACGAAATCTTTTTCATGAAGCGAGCCTTCTCTGTGTCATGAGCCAGCAACTGGTCAAAGAAAGACTGAGGGAGGAAATCATCATTGCATCTCTTTTCACTCGTACTTTAAACATAAATACTGTTGTAGTGAGTGAGGAAGTATTTTAAACGTCACTGTTCAGATAATTGTCAATGATTCGTTCTGAAGCTCACCCACGTCAGGCTGTTCCTGCAGGTGAACTCCCAGGGGGCGATGTAGGTGGGACAGGTGTAGCGGTCCAGCACAACGAAGGCCGCTTCGGGGTCAGCCACGAAGTTAAACTCTCCACACACCGTGGTGTTACCCCTGGCTGCACACACACACACACACAGTCATTATTCTCAGTACCATCACTGCACAGAAGAGAAGAATAAAAGATCGACTAAAGACTTAAAAGCAGGTAACCTACATTTAGTGTTTCCCCCCATGATGTAGAGTGCCTTCAGCTTCTTGGGGAAGTCGGGGTCCAGTAGCACTGCGACAGCCAGGTTAGTGAGGGGCGCCGTGGCCACCAAAGTCACCTGCAGACAGCAGCAGATAAGCAACATACCTTTAGATCTTTTTATATCTTTTTCTTGCGAGGACAAAAGAAGAAAGACATAAGACAAGTAAAGGTTTTTATCTGAAAGTAACTTATCTCGTGTCTGAAAGCTTCTTTTCATGTACAATTTCCTTCAGCACATTTTCTATCATCCAAAAAATAAAGATCTTTTGATGTATTCCATATCACTTTGCAGTTCCCCACAGGCTTGTTGCGATCCAGACAGATAAACTTCCAGAAGGTCAAAGTCACAAGATAACCAGACCCTAGCTGCCTGCTCCCCCAGGTATTTGTCTCACCTCTCCAGCGTTCTCTTTCACCATCTTGATTATGGCCTTCGCAGCTTTCCTCTTCTGCAGCAGCTCCAGGCTGGGAGCGTCCGGATCCGGGACGTCACCTAGGCCGTCCTTCCCGTGGAAACCCCCAGCATTTTGTTGACGGGCCAGCAGGGGTGTTGAGCAGCCGCAATACACTGGGATCTGAGGAATGTGATGTTTTGTGCTTAATACAGCATCATAACGTGGAGAACAACATACATTAACCCCTTAAACCCACTTTAATCAATCAGAACACCAAACCTCCATTGACATGCACCAATTTCTGCCCGTGTACGAGGGCTTCCTTTGGGACTGACGTTTCAGTCAGTCACAGACTTACGTCCAGCCGGTTGCAGACTTTCAGGACACGCAGCATGTTCTTGAGGACGTTTCCAGGGGCGTGTTGCCGTGGCAGCAGGTGATCCCCAAAATCTCTACATTGGGGTCGGCGATGGCCACCATGATGGCCTGAGCGCCGTCCACCCCGGTGTCCACGTCGAGGATCAGCTTCTTCTTCATCCTGCGTTCTACAACAAGGAAAAAGAGACAAGAGCAAGTGTGCATGCTGAGGGAGGCCTTTTTATACCTGCAACATTACATGAGGTTGAAAATGTTCGATACGTTTTGTGCTTCATTAGATACAAATGTTCCCTCAGTCAGCAAGACATAATAAAGAAATACCACGAGAAGGTTGGCATTGTTGGGATCTGACTATATGGCTTCGACATGTGCTGTGGAACAAAGAGAGTCAGGCCTTCCCTTTTGCAAGCAAAGGTTTCATCCTGATTGTAGTTTGAGCACCAAACCCCCCAACTCTGAAGAAATTCACATTAGGGTGTGAGTTTCCTCCCCCTAAATGCAACACTGCTCTCATTGGACGAGAGCAGGGATGCCGAGGGCCAAGACACCCCAGGACCCCTGTGGTTCAGCCACTGTTCTACAAAACTACCTGCAACCCCCACCTCAAGGCTTTTTCCATCGATCCCTCCGGGGTAGCAGGAGGCACACATGCAACTTTGTTCTTTTTTTTAATCAAAACCTAGGTCTAACAGTTTATATTCGCTGGCCGAATTCATCAAACTGTCTATTTTATCTTTGTTCGTATCCACGAAGCGGACCCTTTTATTCCTGCAGAAGTGAAGAAGCAAGACTTCTTCAGAAAGAGAGAGAGAGAGAACTTCCACTCTCCACCAAGCGCCTCGTCTGCTCCGGCCATAAGGACGCGAAAATCCCTTACCGGCACGTATAGACGCCGGGTCTCCTGTTGGCTACTCACGCATGAGAGACGTCACCACGTCCCAACTACGTCATACGTCGCTGAGCTGTTCCCTCGCTCCTCCCCCTACATACACACACACACACACACACACACACACACACACACACACACACACACTACATGTACACACACACTTCCCCCCCTCTTTTCCATAGTCTGTTGATCGCGTGCTCATAAATGTATAGTTGTTGTTAGTTTAGATATTAGTTGACTAGATCATTAGTATTAGAACGTAATAAATTCTGTTATATTTTAAAGAGCAGCTGTCTGTGATTACTCCGTGCATGTGTATTGTGATAATAGCTGTATATGTGGTCTGTGCTCGAACTTAAAACCTTCACTTTCACTCTGAATGTGTAATAGTACTCAGACTATTGACATTGTGAGTGAACACTAATTATGAGACTTAGTTTATCGTTTGGTTATTGGTCCCTGTTCGCAGGGTGGTGCCCCGTTATTATTAATAATCATTAATAATTGTTACTGACATTAATAATTCTATTGATGTCAAGAATTTAGTTTCTTAGATGCTGATAACCTAAACATGCTCCTTTTACGTTCCCAACAGCATCTCAAGCGTAGAAAGACAATTGTCCTGTAATTTGGGTTTTTAACAATAATTGTCTGCGCAACATGAGCATGTAACATGAACAACATGTCATTAGGCGTGGCGGGGTTCGAGGAGTTTTAAGATTCGCACTCAAAAGATTTCACGCAGATCCTTTTAAGCGATTCGAAACGGATTAAAAAGTTGCAATTAAACATTTGAAGCATCAACATTATGCTATACTTGACAGACTTTTTTGAATTCTTTTTTTTTTAAGGTGACCCTCAAAGTGCTTGACTCATACTCATCCACACACCTTTAAATGTCTGTGGTTTGTTTCTGTGGTAAATGGTCTGAAATATCAGTAAAATGTAAAATCCTCACCTGGTGAGCGGCTCCTGATGTCTACTGATGTCTTTGCTGAGACTGGAGAGGCTGACTGCCTTCACCTGTTCCTTTTAAAGGAACATGTAAATGCACAGCGAGAGGCAGAGATGAAGTAAAACCTGTGCCGCGTCTCCTCACCTATAGACGCACCTATACCAGCCTGTATAATGGCTCTTTGCACCCTTTCAGAGTGCATGAAATAACCATCAGTGGAAGTTTTTTATTTGTCACTTTACTTGAATATATTTTCCATATCGTCGAACAGAAAACAGACGACAAAACAGAAGGAATCGCTTGTTTATTGCAAAATGGTGCAGCGAGACTCGACTATAACAGGAACGTGTTGAAAAGAACTACAACATAGGAAGCTGCAGGAAACTTGAGGGAAGCAAAAGAAAGCCGACTGAATAAAGACGTTCATGCCAAACATGGATTGAAGATGGGAGGATGTAAAGCTTGTAAAATGTAATTTACTTTGACCTACCTGAGGACATGCTCATGTTTTTAAAGTCATAGTAGAATTCTGTGTTCTTGTGTTCTGAAAGAGGTGGGGCTGTTAATGTAAAAAATAATGTCATGTAACAGATTATTTGACAACAGCAGATGCAGAACGTTTTGACCCTTTGGCTGTTTCCTGCCTCACACACCTGCTATATTAGTTATGCCTTGTATTCTTTAGGCCTTAATTTGACTTAGGGTAATGGTATGCTCTTACCAGAGGCAAGAGAGAACTTGAATATCCAGTTTAAATGTAGTTTTATAAACGTAGTTCAGGAACGGCTCTCTCTCGCTCGCTCGCTCGTAGGATTACAGGAACAACAGGGGACTCTGCTCCGCCAGAGCTTCCGAAGAGATGGCCCCCACCCTACAGTCTCCAGTGCCCCATTCCCGCCAGTTGCCGGACATCAACGGTCCCCCATCGATCGCCTAACCGCCTTTCTACAAACCCTCTTCGTTTCTTCTTCCTGACATCCCTCGACCCCTTCATCCCTCGACCCCTCCATCCCTCTACCTCGACCCCTACCCCACATCCCTTCCTCCCTACCCCCACATCCCTTCATCCCTCTACCCCTACCCTATATCTATTTCATCCCTCGATCCCTTCCGCTTCTTGAATCTAACAATCTTTCCACTATGCAATAAACCTCTCAAAACTCATACTGTTATTGGCGTGGTCCTTGTTAGTGAATTGCTCTTTACGTTACTCTATACAGCACCCTGCAGTCTTTCTTAGCCAAGAATTTATAGAAGTTGTTGTCGTTGCCAACTCTTCCTCATCATTCCTGGGACTCACATCATGTTCTTGCAGCGATAGTGCAAGTCTTCTCTGTTAAGCATGTCGTTGCAGGTGCAAGAACAGAAATCAAACTGGCGGTGCGTGGCCTCAGATTTTCAAGAGTGCCTGATACAAAATGCAGAACAGAGTGTCCTACCAGAGAGCTGTATGCTCGGCATCTGTTCATCAGAGATGCCAGATTTATACTCTGCAGACATCATTCGACAAGAGATTTTTCCAGTTTTTCCTCACTCCTGTCTTTGTTGTTTTCAGCTGGCACAAAAAAATATCGTTACCTGTTAAACGCTTATCTTGTCTAATGACGCAAAAGGAAAAAAAACAACACAGAACGTGCAAAATCACATTGTCTTTAATAGTAAAAAGAATACAAAACAGTATAACTTTATTGCTTTTATACATTGTGGTTGTATATTTTGTTCAACTTCAAGAAACGCTCAGTTTAACTTAACATGATTGTATTTTTTTGAGAGAAAATACAAATATAATATGACATCTTTCATTCGCATGAGTACAGGAAGTGCTTCACACAAACTCCTCCGCTCATTCTTCAACCTGAACATCGTGTCCGTGATTTAAACCAGAGGCCCTTCGATCAGCGAGGGGAACTTCATTCCCCAGAATCCTCTGCACCTTGCGATGGAGGTCTGGGCCTGGCCAGGTTGGCCCGGACCCGAGCCTGGTCCACGGCGTCCAGCAGGTTTTTGGAGTCCAGAGCCAGAGTGTGAGCGGCCGCCAACATCTGCCGCTGGCATTCCTCCTTCAGCGACGTCATCGAGTTCTGCTGGGCCAGTCGCATCTTGTTGATCAGCTCCCCTAAATCCTTGTTCAGCAGCTTCTTAGTGCCCTCGATCTGAGATGGAGAGCAGAGACGATCACATGATACATCACACATCTGTGTCCTGATTCAACGCAACTGCAGGTACCATCTCCAATCAACTAATCAAGCTATCGACCACATGCAGGTTCACTGGTTGATGCAAAGAGAGGTGAAGTGAGGCTGACCTCTGTGGTGACCGAGCTGTGCAGGGTGGGCAGGATCTCATCCACGCTTTGGATCAGGCTGCGGAGAGTGATCCCCGCCGCCTGGAGGTGGACGAGGGAGACAAAGACAGGGGGGGGGGAGACGGAGCGAGGGAGGACAGGAGTGGGAAGAGGGAGAGTTAACCATAGCTTAGTTTACTGTGGTGTTTGTGTTTAACAGTGGTCTTAAATGGTATAAAGACGGCCTACTTTGACAGCGTTGGGATACTCTGAGGCCGGCAGAGTGTTGACGTCATTCTTCAGCTTGACCACCTGTTTCACCATCGCCATGACGCCGGTGTAGACCTGGTCACCCGATCGGTCCAGCTCAGCTGTGGGCCGAGGCTTCGACAACACAACATGGCTTATTTTTAATGACCAAAATGCTCAAAAAAAAGTCTTACCATTGGAACTTTTCTAGTTGTTTTTAACGGTTCTTTTCATAAGAAAGTAACAAAATCTGAGACTATTTCCTCGGGGGAGGGGTGTTTTATTTTTTACCTGTGTGGCTGTGGGAGGCATCGGGGGCTTTTCTAGAGGACCTGAGGGAGATAGAAAAAGCTGCATATCTGCACATTTTGTTTCCCCACACATATTTTGCATTTTCTATATATACAATTTATGGTGAAAGTAATGCATTTTTATCTCGTTTTCATTACTTTTTTTGTCTTGGAATGTTTGCCTATGTGCAGCCTGTACAAGCTGCGATTAATATGTTGTAACTATTTATGCCGTGTGTCTCTGCTTATACAATCTAGTGAATTTGTTTAATTTCATGCATAGCTTTTCTGTATTATACTGCTGCATTAGTAGCAACATCCTTTTCCATTAAGAGTGCAAGACACAGTCAAGCCTGTTTAAGAAGGCTCACCATTTTCTGGGCTTTTTTCAGGAGGCTGCAAAAAGAAAGGAAGAAAACAGGATGTGAATCTAGCAATTTAAATGAGTTTCAAAATTCATGTCAATTTATTTCTGTGAATTGGCTTTTCAAAAATTGGAGATGATAGAGAGGTTCACAGGTTTGTCGCTGCCCCTTAGTGGTAGAAAAGTGCTTCATGCAGCTTTAATATAACTCTCAAATTAGCACAAGAGGATATAACAACAAGATAATAAGTACCTTGATGTGTGAATCCACTCTCACAACAGGATCCTGCAGGAAAAAAAGCAGATGTCAGTGAATCTGGCAGTTGCATAATGTAGGCGAGGTGGTAATGTTTGTTTTTCACGTGTCTTGTGCTTGCCAAAGATCTTCCGCTTTCATGACACATCACTCTCTTTCGTCACACTCTCGAGGCCACAAACTTCTTCCTGTGCTTCTTTCGACGAGCAGCGCAAGGCATGCTCTGTGTGTGTGTGTGTGTGTGTGTGTGTGTGATCCCTCACCAGTTGTCTCTCCTCCTGCTCCAGCCACTGTTTATCCACCAGCATCTCTCTTCTTTGTCTTTGTAAAGTGTCCTCCACTCGCTCTTTCTCTTTCTGCCACACCGGCCTGGTGTCCCTGTCTGTTCCCTACAAACACACACACACACACACACACACACCCCCTTTAAATGTCACCTTTCGAGGCAGTATAACTTGATTGTTTGAATCATCTTTGTCTAAGGATTTGTTCAGCTTTCACTCAATTTCTAGGAAATTATTTTGCATATCAAAATTGAAATTCCCCTTCAGTTAATGTCCATGTTGTTGCTTAGTCATCCACTTTTGACACTCTGGTCTAAAGAGCAGCTGCAGAACGTGACTCAACGACAAACTTCCTTCTGTTTTTTGATGTAATTGTGGAGCTTCAGTCTATCGTGTGCCAGCATTTTCTTTACATTATTTGCATTACTACATTTGGTTTTACAACATTTGCAGTTTTTTGTGTGTTTTTTGCTCCATAAAGGGAGGGGGAAGTAGATTTGATCAGATATGAAATACAATGCATGACCTTGTAGCATGTTACTCCGTGTGTGTGTGTGTGTGTGTGTGTGTGTGTGTGTGTGTGTGTGGGGACACCTGTATGTGCGTGACTCGAGGAAGAGTATTGCCGTGTATTCTGGACGGCTGGTGAGAGAGAGAAAGAGAGGACATGTGATTTAAAAACACAGCCTGTCATGGTCATATTGGAGGCAGCGCAAACTTAACACCAATTCACTTCAATGCAGTCTTTCTTGGGAGCAGCATCGAGCTGCGTACCTTGGGCGGAGGCTCTGTGATGTGCTTTGGGTCCAGCATTGATGTGGTGGAGTGGGATCGGTCTCGCCTCAGCTCCTGCTCCAGCTCCATCCTGTGGGACTCACTGACACACGAACGCAGACATCAGTTAGTGTTATGACGTCGACGTGTTCTCAGGGGTTAACTTCTGTGTTGATTGACATGATGTCTGACCAATAAAAATGTTTTTATTTGAATATTCATATTGAGCTTGACCTGAGATCCCAGCATGCAAAGCTGGAAGAACAGATTTGAATCTCTGAAACCACCAAAGCATTTTCAAGACTTTCAGAAGTGTGGTATAGTAATAGAGGAGAGGAATGTGCGTGCACCTCAGGAAGCAGACGAGCTGGCTGAAGCTGGGCCGGGCGTGCGGCTCATAGGCCCAGCAGCGGCTGAGCAGGGAGTAGACGGTGGGCGGGCATTGCCGCGGCTTGGGGAGTCGAACCCCCGACTCCAGCTGGTTGATCACCTGCCCGTTCTCCAGCCAGAAGAACGGCTGCTGGGCCATCGAGAAGGTCTCCCACGCACACACACCTGGTCGAACAAAACACGACTACTATTGTAATTCTTGTATCGGTTAGCCCTAGAATTAAAGCACAGTGTTACAAATAAACTTGTGATTTAAATGTTATTCTGGCCTCTAACATAACCAGGTTAAATGCTTGCTGTATACACAAGCAGATGTCAGAGTTATGCTTGTCTGTATATTAAAACAGTAAGTTTAATTGTATGACAGACTTGGCTTTGAGTCTGGGTGGAGTGTAGACTTCCTCATAAATTACTGAAGAGTTGTGTTCACTTCTGCCAATGAAAACCAAAGAAGTTTCACAATTGTGGAACTCAATTTATAACTTTGGTTCCACAATTTAGTATTAAGTGACTACAAGTCATTATACTGCCCACACATTCTGAGAATAAGTTCATCTTTATGTTCAGATGCACTACAATATACACAACGTGTTGTATTTCTCACCAAACATCCAGACATCACTAGCTGTGGTGAAGCGTCTGAAGTTGATAGACTCGGGTGCCATCCATTTGATCGGTAATCGACTTACGGAGGCTGCGCACAGAAGAAGCATATTTGAAGAGAAATAGACCCAAAAAAAAAACAGATTTTACAAAGATTAAAATAATAAGAATGCAAGCAGGAGGTAAATAATACCCCAAATAAACAAGAAGATATGAACACACTGAATGAGTTGAAATGTAGAACCACACACATTGTGTGTGTAGTGAGTGCATGTGTGTGTGTACCTTTATAATACTCTTGTTCGTCTACATAGCGAGACAGGCCAAAGTCGCCGAGCTTGACGCACTTGGGAGACGCCACCAAGACATTTCTCACCGCTATATCTCTGCAGCACACAGACGGAACAGAAACCAGACCCAATAATTATCCGTGTTGAAATAAAGACAGCAGAGTTTTTCATGGTTTTCTCTAATGAGTTACCGGTGCACCATGTTGTGTCCCTCCAGGTAAGCCAAGGCTTTGCAGATTTGCAGACAGTACAGTGTTAACGTTGCAGTGGTCAGGATGTACTGCTCCTGCAGGAGATAGCTCCCCAGCTGTCGGGGGAAACAAAAAAAGAACACTTCATACATTCATCTCAGCCAGTATTATATTCTGTACTGTTAGTTTAATCACACACCTCTCCGTGTTCAAGGAGCTCCATGACGATCCAGACAGGGTCGACCTCGATGACTCCGATTAGACGCACGATGTGGGGGTGATCCAGATTTTTCATCAAGCCTGCATCAGACAGAGCAGCTCAGGTGAATAACGTATCGCTTTGTGTAACGATGTATCAGTAGCAGAGAAAGAAGACAGAGAAAGACGTTAGTGGAGAATAGATGGTCTCTGAACCACTATGAAACCAGGAAACCCAAATGTGTTGGTGTGAAAGAGCTTTTCCAAGGGATGAATTGCAATCTTCCTTTTCTTTATAAATAGTTTACGCTTTCTCTTTCATACTTTTAGCTGCAAAGAGCAGTTCACCACTGGCAGCTGTTTTCAGTTCTAAAACTCAATGTACGTTAACAACAAAGTTCCCGACATGTCGGAGCATTTAACCACTACAAGGCCAGGCATTTCCCTCCGGAGTTGGTGGAGACCAAAACCGAGCTAAAACAGAAGAAAACATTGGATTTGCTTTCTTGAGGTGGAGACAAACAGGCCTCTGAATGAATGTTGTCCTGTGGCTGCTCTATATGAACATTGTTTTCCATCTTATCTTAACATTACGTGCAAATGTATCAATCGCCTGTTGTCTTCCTAAACCTATTCTTTGTCAGTCATCTCTGAACATAAATCAAAAAAGGTCTCTTGTGTCGAACCCGAGGTTACCACAGGCTCCAGTCAGAGCTTTTTCACAAAGCCACATCCAGGCAACAGGAAGTCGACTACAGCAAAGTTCTCACTGATAAAACATGCAAAACACTGAAATGTTCCAAACTCAGATACTCCGCACTATTATCATTACATATCCCTCTGAAGGCGATTAGAAGAATGATCAGTTTAATGTGAGGAAAATGTCGACATACCAAAAAGTTATTTTACGTCATGATGGGAAAGTTTTACACTTCCTGTTGTGAACGTTTGTCAGGCAGTGCAGTTGCATCATAGATCTCTGCACAACACCTGTGAAGCCTTTAATCCCTGCGACATACTCACCAGCTTCACTGAGAAACTTCTCTTTTACTTCAGCCGAGAAGTCCTTACAGGTTTTGATGGCCACACAGATCCTCTCTCCCGTCTACAAACACGCATGGACACATTATCCACTCAGGTTGCATGTTCTCATCAGGTGAGGAACAGATTTTTATAGTCTGATCCTTCAGTGTGACGACACAAAGACGACCAACTCACTGGGCTTTTATAAACTCCGTCGTGAACCTCTCCGAAGAACCCCTCGCCCAGGATCCGACCCACAACGACGTCGTCTCTGGACATCCTGTGCTTCTCTGAACACACAGACATTAAGAAACAGAGGGCGTCTAGAGACCTGGATGCAAATATTTGTACACTAAATATCACAAACAGTGACATTTTCTTATTCATTTTCAGTGAAACTCGACTCACCACCGGAGTCTTCTTTGCCCTCTGAAATCTCTGCATAAATATCCGAACCTGAGGTTAAAGAAACATGTTGAAATTAAAGGTGTCTACTTTGCATTTGTTGTTCTGTTTACAGCCACAAGCAAACAGAAAAAAACAAACTTCAATCGTTGAATAGTCCAAGTAAATTATTGCAGGCAGGCATGTAAATTACAGTCCACATCTGATGTGTCATTTGTAAATCAGTCATGAGACTTACTCAGACCTCCATCAGGACTACTGGCACCACCACTGGAAGAGAGAGGGAGACTTCTTTAAAGCAACACAGCAGCATAACGTTACAATCAGCCTGTGACCTTTTGGTCCAGTAGACAGGCATGAATATGAAAATATGAGCATGAAGGAGGAGGAAGGTGTGAAAATGAACCGTGCTTCCACTAAATTACTTTCCAATAGGATTCATCACACTCACCTTTGCGGGATGTCAGGTAATTTCAGTCTTGCATCTCTCCCTGAAAGAACAGAATCTTTGGTTTAGTTTTTAGTTATTAGCAAATTAAAGGGACATTTTCTTATACATGGCTTCGGTACCTTCTGACATCCTTCTTATCAGTTATGATACAACTTTTTAAATAAAGGCCCCGGTTTAATCCTATTATTTGAACCAGTTGTTTGAAGTCGAAAAGAAAGAGAAAGCACCTGAGTAAAGTCTTTATGATTCATGGGAAATAGGAGGCAAACGTATCCCTGGGTTGTTAGCATATGTGTTCGCTACATTTATGACTCGAGTGTACCTTTGCTGGGTCGGATAATGAGCGAGCTCTCAGAGGCGCCTTCCAGCCGACAGTAGCCATCGATCAGGTCGGCCATGTTTTCTGCCACGGCCAGGGAGGAGGTGTTGACCGACAGCGGCTGGAGGGGTTGAAGATACAAGATATTCAGTGTGGGTTAAACCGCTCCAACTTGCTGACCTGCTGACTCTTATAAAAGTGCAACTCAGAGGCCAGAGGACATTTGGTATGTGTGAAACAGGGTAAACATTTGAAGAAAATCCTCCACAGGTCTGAAGTCCACTTACCTCCCCTTTAAACCAAAACCTGTCATATACACACTTTGGTTTTTGTGTGGCTTAAACAAATGGTACTCTAATCACCCAAAATGTTGCCCTAACCCTTCAGGAAGTCACCTGTTTGGCTCCCTCTATGTGCACAGTGAGCAGAGCCTGGCCATCACTCTCAGCAGAGCAGGACATACTGCGCACCTGAGAGAACGTGGCCAGACGGATGGGCTGCAAAAGAGACAAAGACGATAATTAATATATACATTATGACGGATCAGCGTCTGCAAATAAGGCTGATTGTTACTGAGGTGTTGCCTGCGGTGTATTTATGTTTGCAGAGCCTTGCATACTCATCATATCATCATCATCATAGAGAGCGTGAGCTCACCTTGGAGTTTTCAGTTTGCTGACTGATGCCTTCAGGGTCGATGACCAGGTCTATTGTTAGATTCCAGCCATGCTAAACACACAGGACATGCACACACAAATGCGTCAGAAAATACAACATTTAGCTTGACAGAAAATTACCTTCAATCTCCCCCATGCTCACCACCAGCCTGCAGGCGAAGCGCTCCTGTGTGTAGCTGTAGCACTGGGCCAGAGTGGTGAAGAACCTGGCCATGCACTGGTCCTGCTTCAGAGTGGAGTAGCCCTGGAACGTCTGCTGGATCAGCCGGCGTAGCTGTTTGGGCTGAGGCGTTGCAATGCAGACAAATTATAATCGTACGATCTCTTTGCGTCATGTGCTGTCGTTGTTTCAGCTCGTTACCTTCATGCTGTTGATCATCTCTCTGGGAAAGAACAGGTCCAGACCCACGTCCTTCCTAAAGGAGGAGAGTCAACAGCATGCAGTCAGATATGCAAACACATGGGTCAAGGGATTCAAACCAGGAGTCGTCTTACTAATGCATGAACCATTTGTGCATAAAAAGGCCTGGTGTCGATGCACAGACGCCACAATCCAAGCGACTTACTCTAATAGTTCAAAGTTGGACTTTTTCTCCAGTCCGTTTGGATTCATGTCTTTGTAGAACCTCCTGCAATGAACACAATGGATGTTTTGCGATTGTATAAACAGACAGTGTTTGATTTTTCACTGAGAACATTAAATCTCCAGGCGTTTTGTTAGATCTGGAACAAAGATATCTTTATTTTTAAGAGCGTGCATGAGGTGGTGGTTGCTCAGTACCTAATTTCCAGACAACCAAGCTGTAGAGCCATCCCATCGCTGACTTTTGAGGCATACTGCTGCATGTAGTCCCATCGTACCTAAGGGGTAAACACACACACACACACACACACACACACACACACACACACACACACACACACACACACCTTCCATTGACTGCAGCCATTATAAACACAGTCCCATACCTAACCTCGTCCCTAATCTAAACCCAATCCTGAATCTTACCCTCGGGAAGAGATAGAGAGTCAAATCTAAGAGTAATTTGCAAGAGTAAGCAAACGTGTTACTGACCTGCTGGTAAAGGTAGAGCATTGTGGTTCTGTCATCTTTGAATTCCTCTATGAAGTCTGACGGGATGTATCTGACCCTCAGGTCATATCTGTACAAACAAACGGCACGGTTAGCTCCCCCGATCCACTTACACTATAAAACTGCACACAGACACAAAGACTGAAGTACTGACCTCCACTCGGCCTCCAGGTGCTGCTGCTCGTACCGCTGGGTGAGTTCGGACACGGTCAGGTCCGGGTGCAGCCAGTGCACCACTGAGGACTTGAGGTGTTTGAGGAGGAGGCAATAGCAGAGTCGGTGTGTTATATCTGGACCCACGCAGCCGCTGGACAGCACCATGTTAATGACATCCTGGGACAGAAATCATTACACAGGGACGTCTGTGGGCATGTGGGCTTTCAGAATGTGTTCAGAAACAGTAGTAGAGTGCAGTGGAGCATAAAAGAGTTCAAAACGGTAAAGAACAGCAGAGTTTCGTTTAGTAGAGGACATCATAGTAGAGTGCAGTAAAGTAACAGAAAAATATACAGTACAGTAGAGTATACCTTGACAGTCCATCCTTCCTCACAGCGGACCAGTTTGAAGTTCTTGCCCAGGTTGGAGCTGTTGCTAAAGAAACACACTTTGATGATCTTCACCGGGACGATGCTGTCCCTGGAGACGGTGGCCAGAGGAGACGCATGCGAGGAATCTGATGGGCTGGTGGCAGACATGCTCCTCCAGTGCAGGGTACAGCTGTCTCCAGACATCACACACACACACACACACACACACACACAGCGTGTATGCTACTGCATGCAGGCATACATTGCTGTCAAGCCAACATACATCATTTCACTCTCTTCCTTCTCTCTCATACATGAAGGGACGCATTGAAGCTGGAGACAGGAGACAGGACACAACGATGATGCCGTTGGATTTGAAGAACATTACGATCTGAGTAAAGGATTTGACTTCTGCTGCGATCTGTCTGTACTCACCAAGTCTTGCACCAGCTATTGTTCGCCTCTAAAAGTGAAGACAAGCCAGTGCCAGCGACAGACTGCATTCAAGTTACTTTGCAAAGTGCAGATTTTGTTTTTCTTTGGCAGGTTAACAGAGCCGGATAGCACAGAGCCGTGCCCCTGAAGAAGAAGAAGGAACGCATCAGTGAGCGAAAGAGGAAATGACACTTAACAGGCGAATAAGGAAGTTGAAGAGCAGCTTAACACTGACAGGACTGATGAAACCACCGTGTCACCCCCCTCTGTCTCACATGCAGTGGCACAGTCCAGCAAACCAAACCACAACCCACCCCCAACGATGCACAAAGGGACACGGCACTCACTTCCTCCTCCAAAAGTTCTGATGAGCAAAAGCACAGAACAGGTGAAAACTGGGGAGTTAGGCTTGAGTGTTGACACGATATCTCTATCAACTCCTTTGAGAGAACAACAATCACTACACCAGCTGATCATTTACAGGTTTTTAGCCACACTGTGCTACATTCGGTACACATTCATGGTCCTCAGAGGGTGAATCTGAAAGTGAATGCACTTTTAGAGATATTTAAGGTCATGCCTTATGAAATGCTGATTGTTACTTTGGACATTATTCTATTCTTAATTTAAAAACTGCCCTCTCTATAGAGGAAAAGCATTCATGCAAAGCTGCAGCACGACAGGTACTAAACTTTTCAGATGCAGTGCGGTGAACACTGGCGGCCACGAGGCTGTTGATGGGAAATTCTCTCCATTCTTTCAGATTCGACCTCGGTGGTTTAGGCGTGTCTTTGTTGACTCTCAGGTAAAGTTAGACGGCTCTCTATTCTAGCTCTGGCCTGATCGGACACTACCCAGCCGCCATTTCTTTATTCTTAAACCTTTGATGCAAATGTTAAATCATAATTACATTTAAATAAAACTTATACAACAAGAAAACAAGAGAGAGTCTAGTTAAATATGAGCTGTTAAATTCTGTTTTGCTGACTTCACACATGTAAGTGACACTGATCTCATAGAAATACTTAGTGTGACATCCTGCTATGCATAATACAGACACTTTCCACGCTCACCACCCAACCCAAAATACTTTCAAACATGACACGTTATCGTATTATTGAAACTGTTGTTTTACGTAGCTGCTGACAAGGAGCGGGGTGCAGAGAGCCCAGACACCGTGATGCATGATGGGCATTACTGACTGACTTTGTGTGTGTGGCATAGAACCAATAAATTAGTAGCTGCGTTAGTTACATTCCCTGAATTGAATCAAAAGCAGTGTTACGCTGCAGAATTGCAGATCAATAATCTTCATACCCTGTTTTGGGGTGGGATTGATCAAGTATTGGGGGCAATTGTTCTTCTCTTTATCGTTGTTTCTTGTCAGCTAAAATCAAGGTATAAGTGTTGAACAAATAACAACTAAAATTGTCAACATTTTAGGTATAAAATGGAGGACAAAAATGATGACATTGAAAGAGTATGTTAAGTTTTGCATGTAGCTAATGGGCCACTTTTAAATATCATTATATAAGTAATTTATGGGGTTCATGATGAGTTTTTTCTTTGCCATCAGCTAAACCTATAACCTAAACTGTGCAGCAGAGGGCGACACAGCCCAGTTACACACAGTTGATAACAAGTCATTGAATTACTTATGTCATGCTCGTGCAGTCTCAGGAAGAAATCGACTTAACACACAAAGTTACGCTTCATTGAACAAACCATTGCATTAGCACAATTTAGCCCCACTGCTGACGAATTCTGAATAACGATCCACTTTTCATGACGAAATTATTATCTAAGCAACGCTTGTTTTAATTAGGAATATTTTAACTGATTTGCTTACAATAAAATGTTGTCGATAAATGAGCAACATATTTTAAATGTGTAGATTTGAATGTAGTTCGGAGTTATGTGTGGTTTGATCAGCCTGTTAGTCATCAATGGGACGGTCCTGCGATTTGCTGCGTCAAAACCAACAATAAAAGCATGGGTTAAAGCGGAAGTTAGAGGGTTTTGTCTTCAAAGTAAAAGTGCAAAACTAATTATTTATTAGTTATCTGGCTTAAGGCTTTGGTTTCTTGTATTGCAGCCCTGAGTTGGACACCATGCTCAGTGATTATTGTTGATATTAATATACAGGTATAGTAGCTTCCTGATTAGATTCCTTATTATTTTCAATTAAACATTTCTAAACAAAAGGTGTTCAAATGATAGATGGACGGATTTTCCTTAAAACATTGTGATTGACACAATATATAAACACACAACATAGCACCATGAATTGTATATGATTCATTTTACAATGATTTTGTAGATGGTATGATAATAATACACACAAAATATCCTTTGTGTAGCCTTTTAATTTAAAAACTGTCAAAGGAAGTCGCGTCTCAGAGTGCGTAACTTGCTGCCACAGTTGTCCACACAAGCAAAGGTGAGAGAGAGAGAGAGAGAGAGAGAGAGAGAGAGAGAGGGGAAGGAAATACCTTTCTCATTTCCACATCTATTATTTTTCTTCTATTTTGGATCATCAGCCTGTGTGATCCAAACCAGTGCGCGTTGATGTTCAAACAAGGCGCGGCTGGCTAACCCTTCTGTCTCATTTCGGACGGACCACAAACAGGAGAGCGCGGACACTGAAGCTGCTGCTGCTGTTGTTGTTGTATGACATTGGAGATCCGGCCATGAATTCGGCCGAACAGACGGTAACGTGGCTCATCACGCTGGGGGTCCTGGAGTCTCCCAAGAAAAGCATCTCGGATCCAGAGGCTTTCCTCCAGACGTCTCTGCAGGATGGAGCGGTGCTGTGCCGGCTGCTGGAGCGACTCCGACCCGGGACGGTGGACAAAGTGAGTGATGGAGGGACACAGGGCTAAGGAAGGGGAACAAAATAACCCATTAGGGAATGAATATGGTACATAAAAACATATAAAGCTAAATATATTCAGCCCCTATTGGCTATATATGTAGACAGTGAATAGACAAGAAACCTAATTATCCTATGAACATTCTACAAAGGAAAACCCAGTAAAATGCCAGTAGAGAGTAGTATTTACAAACTGAATTAAAATTAAAATACATTAAAAACATTGCCATGCACGAGATTTGTTTCCCCTTTGACATTAAAGTATTAAAAAAAATCAATTCAGAGTCAAAGGTGGTGAGCACTTTTTAGACACCTAAATATTAAATTGTTGTACTGTTATTTAAAGTCTAGCCTCCTAATTTATTAATCAGCAGGTTTTGTGTTATCTCATTTGTATGTGCTCTTCTTTTTGCACCCTTTGTTTTATTGCGGTTATTTTCTATTCTAGAGATAAAAAGGAAAGAAGATATGAGACATCTGATATGTAAATCTGATACCAAATCAGATTCCTGCATAGATTAATATCTAAAATGATATTGCTGTGATACTAATAATGCTCATTAAAATAACTACTGTAATACATTATAAATACTACTAATATTGAATGTATACTAATTCCACTACTAATTAGTCCACTGTTAACCAGAGCTAAAACCATTGGTCACCAAAACCAGTACGAGCCTGCAGTAATAAAGATCTCTCTCTCTCTCACACACCCACACACACGCACACACACACACACACACACACTCACACACACACACACACACACACACACGCACACAATGGACCATGAGCTTGTCAACGTCATATCCTCCTTGTTCTTATCCTACTTCCCTGTCAGACCTCTTTCAAAGTAGCTTCTATTAGCTTCAACTCAACACAGAGGGAGGAACAGCTTCTTTCAAAATAAAGGCATACCTCGTTGTCAGCAGCTACGGATCACCCACTGTGCTATTTATTTAGCCTCCTCTTGGAACAGCCATGCCACCACAGCTTGTCCACTTTTGTGTCGGCATCAGAACTCATTTTAAGTTATATCATATATATTTTGTAGCTCAGTTTTTTTTTTTTTTGTTAAGCTTAATTAGCAGATTTGGAAGACAAGATAAAAACTGAGATGATTCTTCATAAGTTACTGAAAAAAATACACTTGACCACAACAAGTAGGCATCTTACTAACAGCAATAAAACAATGATTAATGTAGCTTTTACAGAAAGTTAAATTTTAAACAAAATATATGAAAACGTAACAACGTCTTAATTTGAAAATTGAAACCGGAAGCTTAGCTCATTTTCCTTTAGCTAGCTTGATACTGGTAAGCAGCAGGTGGCAAGTGCACTAGCAACGCCTGGAATAATATTGTTTACATGACGAAAAATCCTTTAACACCTTCATAAACAGTTTATTAACATTTTGTGTGAGTATTTTAAAGCTAATTTAGTGACTTTTTGTGTGTAGTTTTTCCAGGAACCGAGGGGTGACAGCGAGTGTCAGAGGAACGTTGCGGAGTTTGTTAAAGGCTGCGGGGCTTTCGGTGTGGAGGTGAGTTCATATTAAAACACATTACCCCATACCTACGCAAACATATTCATTGTTTATACCACCTTTTGAAACGTACGTATCCTGCTGTTTATCAGTGACGTCTGTACAGTTAATGTTTAGCCATTACTCCCGTTAACGGCTCGTGCAACAGGTATTGTACTCGAGCGCAACCTGGAAAGGTGCCATTTATACATCAATATGGCTTTTGAGGGAAATTGTTTTTCGAATATTAATTAAAAAATTGCAATTACAATACAAATACTGTGTCTCTAGTTAAAAAAAATGGATGTTTAGTCAGAAAAGGTGAGAAAGAGAGACAGAGACAGAGAGAGACATAGAGACAGACTGAGAGAGAGAGAGAGAGAGGGTGCTTTTCAATTCGGAGGTGGAATGAATTAGCTGATAAATAGGAGAGGGAGCTAACATTTGGTCTAAAGGCAAACTTATTTATTTGAGAGTTGAACGTACTAATTTGATTAGTGTTTGGCTGTTGGCATGTTTATCATAAAATGATCTGTATCGTTATCAGAGCTCAAAAACACGTGGCAGGGTGTGTGCATGTGTCTGTGTGTTTGCACAACAGTGGGTCGAGCCAGGTTATATCCTGCCCCACAGTGGGTGTGTAGAGAGGGCTAGTGAGTAGAGTGGTATACAAAATGACACCACGCACTCTCTCTCACACACACACACACACACACACACATTTCAATCTTTGCTTGGCGTTAAAGAAAATCGTGATGAAATAGAGGGGACAAGTGGGTGGGCTGACGTAATGCGACACGTCAGGCCGTCTGTGGACCCAATCACGTTGATTAGAAGCATGTTGCTTCACGTCGGCCATGTTGCTGGAAGCCAAGGGTCTCCATCACTCGTTGGACGGGCAGAGGACGAGCCGGACCGTCTGTCCAACAGAGGGACGTCTGAGTCCTGACTTGATTAACCGGACCTCCACCATTCATCAGATCTTAAATCTATTAATCAAACTCAATCCGGTGGGTTATTGATTCTCTGCATTTACGTCTCTGCCGCGTTAAATCAAGCGCTCCCTGTTATCAGGTAAGCTGTTTGACCAATCACAGGCTGGGATTATGTTCTCTCTGCTTCTCACAGCTGTATGTTTTTACTATAACCTGCAAGATGAACAAAACTGCATTTAATAATATATAGTTATTAATATCTTGTACGTGGTATGCATTACTGCTATTTATATAATGTCAAATTGTATTCAACTTTAAGAATCCATTCTGATTTAAAGATGTTAACAAATATGTCACGTAAAACCAAATTCTTTCAATATCAACTGCACCTTTTCTCCGTTATTGAGGTTTGAGATCCTTCTGCGAGAGCTATTCTTTGTCGCTGATGTTCTACATGTGCTTCTTTTTAGTGTAGCAGCAGCTAAAATACCCCAAATATGTACAAAAGCAACCTTCTCGCTGGTACATTTCTACTGCAGCAGTGCATAGAAAGCCTTGTTTTGTACCTTGGCCCAATGCCAGTGGGAGAGATGGGAGTGTGTGTTAACTGTTGGGTCCACACCGCCCTGACTACTAATCAGCCTGTGTGTATAAATCAGACCAAGTGGGTTCTTAAGATGAGGACTACATTAAAGAAAGCCGTCGTTTTACCATCACCTTAAAGAGACCTGCTCTGTAAAGAAGTCGGGGGCTGCTCTCAGCTTTTTAAATCAGAAGTTTTGAAGCCGCACATTACCTCCACCTTCAGTGTGTGGTATACACAAGATTAGGGTCTTTTGATTATGTCTGTGTGTGTGTGCGTGTATGTGTGATGGGATTACAAGTTGAAGCTCAGACGTTGAGTAATCCTGCTCCAGACTGCAGTTGGAGGAGGGATACAAACCCCCCCCCCCCACTACACTTGGCATTTCTTCATTTTTAGGATGTAGATTATGTAGTATGCGTTCATAATGTGAATTGTTAATCAGAGTCGATGCGAGCTCAATAAGTATATTCCACACACCATTTCTAAAACTAAACCGTGTGGAAATGTCCGCTCTGTGTGCTCTATACATTTATTATGAATGTGTGTACGTGTTTGTCTCAAACTCCTCAAACCTTTTCCCTGTTTTCTCCCCTTAAGCCTTTTGAGGTTAATGACCTCCTGCAGGGAGTGAACTTCTCAAAGGTCCTAAACTGCTTGGTAGCCCTCAACAAAGCTACTGAAGGTGAGATTATTGTGTTCTTACAAGGCTCACTTTTCATGTTTGCAGTCTTTTGTTCACCTTTCATCATTACAAGGGTTTATGATGACATTTAGATCTTTTAATTGACACACTGTGTGCAGATTTAGGTGTTTCTGAAGACAGTGTGTGCGTGCCGCACTCCTCACACTTGAGGATCAAGTCCTTTGACTCTCTGAACACTCAGAGTCGCTCCTCCAAGGTGCTGCAGCCTCAGTACCGCAGCCTGGTGAGTTATCTCATCGTCTGCTCTTGTACGGTGCACGTCTCTCTCCGCCAGTACATAAACATCTGGAACGTTTTCCGCGCACGTTCTGCACGGATCCAGGGAGCTTCATGTCTCCTTCGCTCTCCTCTTCCTCAGGACATGTCGGAGGGCGGCGGGTGTGGCCACGCGCTGTTCAAGGCGCGCTTCACCTTCCAGCAGACCAACGAGGACGAGCTCTCTTTCTCCAAGGGCGACATCGTCAGCGTGAGCCGGCAGGACGAGGGGGGCTGGTGGGAGGGCTCGCTCAACGGCCATTCTGGGTGGTTCCCCAGTAACTACGTACGGGAGCTGAAAGGAAGCGGTGGGTGCAGTGGCTGCTATAAATTCAGATTTGATGCATATGCTGCATATCAAAGATCTTAGACTAGACCCAAACCTCTACCTCTTTCATGATTTCTTCAGGAAGTAGACCTAATTATCCTTAAAACGTATCGTAACAGCTCATTTGTGTGTGGCTTTTATTGTTGTCCTGTGCATGTAAGAGCCGTTATCCTCCTGGTTTAATCGTGTTGCTTTCTGAGGAGAGGAGGCAGAAACGAAGGAAGGAAGCTCCACACGCACACAAAGACAGGAAGTGCCTGAGCTGCTGTATAGAAAAGGAGCTTCCTGACTTAATGCTCACAGCAGAAAACAGGGATCATGATAACAGCGCACTGAGGAGTGGCAGCAAACACACATGGCCAGAGGGAGTTGTTTCATATATGTGAGAGAGGGACCCAGGATTAGGATGATGAATTGGTGGCTACATGTGCCGGTTATCTTGATATACTGACATAAATCATCATAAACCTGCTTTTGTTTCTGCTCCAACACCAAGAATTGTCCAAAGAAAACCTGTGATTGTAACTTGATGTAGCTTGTTTCGCTCCCTCTTTCATGCTTTATAGACAAGACATTAGACAAGCCGAAGTCTGGGAGCCTGAAAAGCCCCCCCAAAGGTTTCGACACCACCATCATCAGCAAGACCTACTACAACGTGGTGAGCATCATGCCCTTCAGCAACTGTCTTAGACTTCTGGGTCTCCTTTGTTCCTTCCTGGTTAGACTGATGGAACCGAATTAACAGATAGTTCTCACATGTGTGCCTGCTTTTTGTTCAGTCAATCAATTTTCATCCGCACATCCAATTAATGATTGTGTGGCTGCGCTGCGTGTGTGGAGGCTGCACGGCACCCCTGTGTGAGAGTGCAGCAGATGTAATGTAGGTTATTTCTTCCGTCCCACTGGTTTCTGGGGCAGCCTTGCCCCGGGGTTGGTTTCTGACTGTGTGTGTGTGTGTGTGTGTGTGTGTGTGTGTGTGTGTGTGTGTGTGTGTGTTAATAATGCAGCAAGCTGCGGCAGTCCATCTCTGGTTGGGGTACCTGAGTCTCTCACTCACAGACGCTGCCTGAAGTCAAAGCTGTTCCTAGAAATAAAAAGCAAAACAAAAAGAAGATATAAATAAAAAGTTCTTCTAATGGACAGAGCAGAATATTGTATAAGCAGAAGAAGCAGACTTCGGGCTATTTTTGTTTGAGTGCGTTTGTGTAGTTTGCTTCACCATACCAACGTTTTCCACATATTCTTGTAGCCCAAAGCCCGCACTGGCATCCTCTCTGTGTCCTCTTAATTAATACATAAAAAGGTATTTATTGGAGGTCCAAACCTAAGGGGAGACCAAGCAACATGTGTCTGAAATTCCACAATTCATTAGCAGAACCCTCACTCCTCAGAGGCTGTGATGTTGTGGAGAGATGAACCAATTAGTGGAGTCAGACCCATAGAAAGCTACTTGTGTTACAGCTCCCATCGGGTCTGATACCTCTCTCCATCAGCCTTTTCCTAAACACATCTCCTACTAACAAGCCAACAGCTCGGAGAGTCATTGGAAGATCACTCACTGTAATTTATATAACGCTCTCTGTGTGTTTCTGTGGTCCATGTTCACCTCAGGTCCTGCAGAACATCCTAGAAACAGAGACTGAATATTCGAGGGAGCTCCAGAGTCTCCTGGGCTCATACCTGCGCTCACTTCACCCCACAGACAGGTTTATTTTTACACTTTTTATTGTTTAATTCAACAGAGTCAGATGTTAGAGGTAGCGGTACACACACACACACACTAGCATATCTACTGCAATACCAATACAATCTGTCAAATATAAGAACACACTGTATATTATATGCATACTGGATGTGTCCTTTGTCCTGCATTGTACACACATAAATATATTACAAAATGCATGAATTATTATCCTTATATGTTAGAGCTTGGCAAGCATAATGATTTATTTATACCAGCCTTTTATTGAAAATGTCAACGATCCATTATGACTCTCCTCTCCTCTCCTCGCTGTATTGCAGACTCGGCAGTGTTGACATCAGTCACATTCAGGGAAATCTGGAGGAGATCTCAACCTTCCAGCAGATGCTGGTTCAGTCCTTGGAGGAGCATACAAAGTCAGTGCACTGATTTCCTTCTGTCCGCTACAGATGCTGCTGAAACGTAGTGTGATAATGAACTTGTCAAAAGATAATATGACGTCAATAACTGGATTAAAAAAAGACGTTTTTAACCTCATCGGCTTCGCTTCTAAACCAGAGGGGCGCTGAAGCTCAGACCTGCTTTTAGTTTCGTGTCGACAGTTGTTAGAGCTACAGAGACATCTAGTGGTAGACTGAAGGAACTGTCTGTCTGAGTCCTGTGTTGATGCAGTCAAGAGAGATAATACGGTGTCTGTGTTATCCAGTCAAACATGTCACGTGTCTGTGTAGACTCCCAGAGAACCAGCAGAGGATCGGGGGCTTCTTCCTCAATCTCATGCCCCAGATGAAGCTCATCTATGTGGCCTACTGCTCCAACCACCCATCTGCTGTCAATGTACTCATACAACACAGGTACAGTCAGAGATATGTTATTTCGTCTTGTGTGTCAGTAGCTACAGTATGTGAATATATTGTGTGTGTGTGTGTGTGTGTGTGTGTGTGTGTGTGTCACAGTGAGGAGCTGGGGGAGTACATGGAGTCTAAGGGGTCGTCCTCTCCTGGGATCCTGACGCTGACCACTAGTCTGAGTAAACCCTTCACCAGACTGGAGAGATACCCAACGCTGCTGAAGGAACTGGACAGACACATGGAGGTGAGCCACCTGTCTGTCTGTGTGACTCTCCAGATAAATAACACAACAATGAACTCAGTAAAAACTGTCTTTTTTTCTTCTTTGCCTCAGGACCAACACCCTGACAGAGCCGAACTCATTGCTGCCATGATGGACTTTAAAAACTTTGCAGTAAGATACAAACAGTGTGATGTTTCACAGAGGAACTGTATTGATTCGAGTTTTTGTGCATTCATGTGCCTCTGAATGCTTCTGCGCGTGTGTTCAGGCTCAGTGCCAGGAAGTGAGGAAGAAGAAGGACCTGGAGTTGCAGATTTTAACAGAGCCAATCAGAAACTGGGAGGGGGATGACATCAGGACTCTGGGCCCCGTTCTCCACATGTCCCATTCTACAGTCCACACGCAGAACTGTCAGGTACGGACACTGACTTATTGACCTAAACAGGTGTCATGTGAACGAGTCTAAGGTTGCATTCAGACCCGAAACGAACACACGAGACTGTTGAGTTCAAGTCACCACAAAAAAGTAAGTTAAAGGTGTTTTTTATCTCTTTGTTTTTCAGGAGTCAAATGAACGCTACCTCGTCCTCTTCCCTCACTCTCTGCTCGTGCTCTCTGCCAGCTTGAGGATGAGTGGGTTCATCTACCAGGTATGTTTAACCTAGAATGATGATTCAAAGCATAAAATCGTTCCCTGCAGCATATAAATGTGTGTGTGTGTGTGTGTGTGTGTGTGTGTGTGTGTGTCCATAGGGAAGGATACCGCTGTCAGGGATGCTCATCTCCAGAATAGAAGACGGAGAAAACCTGAAGAACGCTTTTGAAATTTCCGGTCAGCCCTTTCTGTCGTTTAACTTTCTCATTTGAATTGTCTATTCTGGCAGACTTTGGTATTCACAGGTATACGCACTGTGTTGTTGTTGTTGTTGTTCAGGAGGACAGTGTGATCGGATGCAGGTGGCCTGTAACAGTCAGCACGAGCTACAGGATTGGCTGGACCTTCTCACCAAACACACACACACTCCGGCCACGCACACACACTCACACCAGCGTCAGTCCGTCTGTCACACGGTAAGTCCTCAGCTGATCCACTTCACTGCCTTCATACAGCATCTGCTCTTTCCTCTTTTCACCTCTTCTCTGCTTCTCCCAGTTGCCCTCTCAGCCCGCCACTCCCTCCAGACACTCGGAGTCTCGTGGAGGGAGCACTGGACACACCTACCACACCCTTCCCCATCCCTCGTCCTTTGGGACGGCCCTCAGCAGCAGCCCTATGTGGGGGCCCCTGGAGCCACCGAGTACCCCTAAACCCTGGAGCCTGAGCTGCCTTCGCCCTGCGCCTCCACTCCGGCCCTCGGCTGCTCTCTGCTTGAAGGAGGTGCTGTACACATATGGCATATTAAAATGTGTTGCTCAAAGTGGGAGTAAGGGACCTAAAAGGGTTCTTGAGGATGTTTTTAGGAAGATTTGGAATTCACATGACGTTATACTTTATACTTTTCTGAGTCCTGTTGAATTGGACTCAACGTATTTCTGTGTTTTTGTTTGTAGGATATGAGTAAGAGTCCTAAGAACATGAAGAAGCTTCTGCCTAAGAGGAAGCCAGACAGGAAACCTTCAGAGGAGGACTTCACCATCAGAAAAAGTAAGTGTGTATGTGTATCTGACGACAAAGTAAATAGCTAATATCTACATGTGACGTCTCTCACATGTCCTTCTGTCCTGTCTCCTTGTCTCTCAGGTACAGCAGCTCTAGAGGAGGACGCTCAGATACTGAAAGTCATCGAGGCGTACTGTACCAGCGCCAAGACACGACAGACGCTCAACTCCAGTGAGTACACACGCACACACACACACACACACATACATGCTCACACACTGTCTGATTGCTAACCGCCGTTTGTTCTCTGCCGTCAGCTCTAACAATGTTTTTCTCTCTCCTCTCTTTTTCATGTCTGCCCTTCCTCTGCTTTCCTCATCCATCCTGTATTTTTCATTAACTATTTCATCCATACGTTTGGTTTCATCGTCTCACTCTTGTTTCCTTCATTTTAACTTGATTTTGCCTTTTATTTCTGGTTGCATTGGGTTCAAATCTTTTGTTTACAACTTCAATATGGTTTGTCGTCCCCCCCCCCCCTTCCGACATTCAATTTGGTTTGTTCAAACCCCGTCTATTGCTGGTTACTTTACGGTACAGCCTGGCAGGGGACTGACCTCATGCACAACCACGTGCTCGCTGACACCAGCCTCACCGTCGCTGGCAACCTGCCTTGTTCTGACCAGTCAGAGGACTCGGATTATGACAGTCTCTGGACCGCCACTAGTTACAGGACTGCCTCATTTTCTCGTAAGACATCGGGTGTCGCAAAGCACTGACATGCTAGCGAACCGGCCAGCTTACAACTAGGGACAGCAGTATCTATATATCCTCCCAAACCGTTCCCCTGCTGTGTGTATGTGTCGTTGTGTACGAGCCTCTGTGAAACCCCCATACAGTAGATTCAGTAAGCAGATAGATTAATGTCTAGATGTGTGTCTGTTTTCTTTGTTTGTGTGCATGTGTATGTGTGTGTGCATCACGCAGGGTTAATAACTTACACTGTTGTCACTGTTCAATCAGGCTCCAGCAGGAAGGACGTGCACATGTTGTTCCCAGAGGAGGAGAAGATCATCGTGGAGGAGACCAGGAGCAACGGGCAAACCGTAGTGGAGGAGAGGTGAGAGGGGAGCGGTGAAGGTGTGTTTTTTATGTCCGGTATACTCAACGTGTGGATAAGTTAAGCTTTGATAGCGGAGGCTGTGGGGACAAACAACAGCAGCAGCAGCGAATAAAAGGGTGCAGCATCAACAGATACAACACAGAGGAAAAGGGGAGATTCTGAACTCGTGATAAAACCAATCAAACACATTTAGCAACTTTATAAATATCAAATGAAAACTTCACAGCATGTATGGCCAAGAGTCAAAGTGGAAAAATGAGCTACATAGTATTAAAAACTGCAGTCGGAGTAAAGCTGTTCTGTTCCTGCAGGAGTCTGGTGGACACTGTGTACAGTCTGAAAGATGAAATCCAGGGGCTCAAACAGGTGAGACTGCTGAATGTTTTATGAACCTGAGCTTATTTATCATCAGTGACTCGTTAAACGGTTTAAACTTCTGTCCGAGAACCAATAGAGGTAATTCCTCTCCTTTCCTGTCGTTCTTCGTCTCTCTCCAGGACAACAAGAGTATGAAGAGGACGCTGGAGGAGGAGCAGCGAGCGAGGAAAGAGCTGGAGAAGATCGTCAGGAGAGTTCTGAAGAACATGAACGACCCCACCTGGGATGAGACTAACCTCTGAGATCAATACGATCATCACCACGGACAAGACCAACTTCCTGACTTGATAATGACCAAATGAACCGTGCCAGAAGCTGCCAATTCTTCCTTCAACACGTCTTCACCATTTTTCACTTGCTTTGACCTTTGTAACAAACTGTGGACCAAGAGAAAGATGCCTGCCAGCCAACAGCAAAGCCATCCCAACAGACCGAAAAGCTGTGAAGCCAAATTAGCTGGTAGGTATGATGACATCACTTCCTGCCTTGTTCGGAGCAAAATCACTTTTTCTCATCGACCTGTCTATTCGTCTTTTATTCCTCCTTGTGCTTATTTGCATAAAGTATGACATTTCACTATTAGCAGGACAGTATGTTATTGACTGTCGTGCATGAAATATACATTTCAAAGAGACTGGAACTTTAAATAGACATCCGCACTCCTCATTTCATTGGCAGCCATTTTTATTTTATTGTACGATATATTTTTCTTGATTCTAACAAACTATAAAGTTTGTTTATTTCTGATATCAAATACAAAGATAAGTACCGCCTAAATTTAAAGTAACCTTAATTTACCAGCACTTAAAAGTTAGTTTAAAGTTCTCTGTGAATATTGCTGCTTTGAGACAGACCACCATATAAGTCTATGAATCCACATTATGCAAGTTTCAGGTGTAATTATTTAGATTATCTAAAAAAAAAGATATAATATTTTTTTATTAAACTTCTATTTCAAGGTTCACATTCTTGCAAATAAACACTCGAAGCAACATTTAAAAGTTTAGGATACCCTGATTCAGAATATTGTTTTTGTCAGATGTTTATGCGGTTATACATGTGAAGTCCAGGACACGAGGAGAATATGGGCGCTTCTATTACAGTTAATAGAAATAATACTGCACTGAACCGTTTCTCCTAACTTCATGAGCTAAAGAATATATTCACAGCTCGCTGCCCTTTCTGTTTCAAGACCAAAGTCCAAGCAATACAACACTGGAAAATGTTTTTTAAATGATTTTTACAACGTCAATATGCAACTTACGGTGTAATGATTTCTTATTTTTATATTTGCGATTGTGTTTCTACTCTGGTTTTGATTTGTAACACTACTTCTTTTCTACTTGACCTGTTTGATGATTTGAGCAGCATATCTCTCATGAACGTTGTGAGACGTGCCTTGGGGAGAAGAACATCTGCGAAAGTTATTATTGAAATTAGAAACCACACTAATGCAAGCTATGTGATACAGTTCCTCAATCATTGACTCTAACTTATGTATTTAAATGAAAGTGACTGATGTAAATGTATTGCGTGTTCAAATGTTATGGTGATGATGTTGATTACAGTACTCACTCTGACAAGAATCACCCCCCCCCCCCCTCTATTTATTTCACCCATTTGTCTGTGAATAAAATGTTGAATCAAACAGTTGTCTCTAAATCTGTATCTCTCTGCAGCTAAACATCAGTAAACCAACATTCAGTGACATGCATGAAAGGTTGTACTAATTATTCCTCACGCAAACGCATAATGCAGTTCTCTTACATCAGGGGTGTCCAAACTTTTTTCAGAGGGCCAGATTTGATAATGTGAAAATGCCCAAGGGCCAACAGTCCCTGCTGACATTATTTTAAACAATACAAGTAGCCTATACATACATTGTTATTTAATCATTTTATTTTCAATGACAGCAAATAGCAATGTAACCAAATGTAAGCAGCTATAATCACTATTTTAAAGTGATTAGTGACTCGTCTAAAACATTGAAAAAAGGAATAACTTCAACAGAATCATTCTATACACTGTAGCTTCTTTACATTCTATTAGAATGTAAAGAAGTTACATTCTAATACAATGTAACTTATTTACATTCTTGTAAAGAAGTTGCATTCTATTAGAATGTAAAGAAGTTACAGTGTTGCCTTTTCTTTTCTTCCCACAAGAATGTCATTTTGTCAGGTTGATAAAAAATGTCACTTTACTTCCTGACATTATTGTTACTTTCATCAACAGATCACAGGCAGCTTCAACATGTTCATATTAGAATACTGTCTTTGATTAAATATGTATTTGTCTCTTAAATTCCCGAGTTCCCTCACATGAGTGAAACAGCGCCCCCGCTGTTAGTGGTCAGAACAGGACATTACACCCTCAACAGTGGGTGAAACAGCAAGGTAATTTAAATTAAACAACAGTTTAGCTCTCCAGTGAAAGTAACGTTCGCTAGTTATAGTCATTGTTGCTAACGTGCTACGGTAGCCGCCACAGAGAGGAAACAAACAAACAAACAGACTGTTAAAGAGGAAGAAGACTTCTGTCAACAAACAAACAGACTTTCAAAGCAGCGAGTGCAGTTGGTCATCAATGAACATCTCCATGAAAGAAAGGAGAATTGACTTCGACAACAAATGTGAGTAATATAGACTTTATCTCTGATTGTCTCTTTGATTGCTGGTTTATTTCCTGATGTTTAAGTGTCTCGCGTGGGTGTATTAAACTCTTTGCATTGTGTTGATGTTATGCAGGTCATGTATTTGATACATGCATTGATACTATTTTGATCAGTATTCAGCACTGATATGTACCTCTAGAGTACACACTTTGTAGTACTGTATGCATGTGTCTGCTGAGAGAATATACATAAGAGACGTGTATCTCTGATATGTGCATTAGTTTAACTTAAACCTGTTTTTATGTGACTGCTTTATTTATAGCATTTCTTACTGAATGCAGTGTATTGTCATATTGGTTCATTTTTTTGCCTGTGTTTTTAGATCTTGGTCATATCGATTGGTTATTTTCATATTATCTGCTATAAATAAGGCTAGAAGGAGTTGATATGAAGAGTGTTGTGAGTGTGAGCAACAAGGAGCTGAGGAGAAGAGGGATCATGCTTAGAATGACCTGTTTTGCACATTTACTGATGAAATAACAGAATATATATATCTCTGTTGTGTACTGATTGTCTGATTGGCTTTAGGAAAGTGGCCAGTGAGCAGTGAGGCGAGATAATGTATGAAGTGTATATAACTCTAATCCACTGAGATGATCATGGAGGCTGTGTGGCTGCACGGTGACTATAGAGACCACTTACAGTTTTATATTAACATGTGACACCATAGAGGTCTCAGACAGCCGCCTATTGTGCATATATTCATTGTATGAGCCTCTTTTTCTGTATCTCCACACGTAAGATAAGTGATGTTTCACAATGCATCACTGACAGTTTGATGGCTTCCGTGCTGGATGACTGTTATCAATGCAATCAATAAGATCACGTGGCTAAATTGCCATCAGGTTCTTTGGCAGGACACCATGTGAGAAGCATTCTTCCCATAACAACAGAGGAGAAAAGAGGCTTTGTGGAGTCGTCCTTACTAAATTGACAAGGCCTTTTACAGCCTTTGATACAGGGCTGGCTGCCTCACACAAAGAAAGGCATATAAATTTGCAGATGTCGTCTGGAAAGCTCAAATGTCAACGCTTTTCACAACAACACCAGAGGAATAATTGATTGGTTCACCTTTTGTCTCGAGCCAAATATTCATCCGGGAGGACAAAAAACAGGAGGCAAAGCAAAAGATGAAAGAGCATCTTCTCCAGCCAGCGTGTGCTGGCGCTTTTAAGAATAATATTTTACAGGCCAGTCAGTGCTTGTGTAATGCGTATGCGGCGGTCCACTTACTGAGCATGCACTTAGAGCTTTTCAGCTAATCCTTGTAGACAAACAGCATCCCTCCTTTTCTGTTGCTGACATTACTTCACAAAGATATGAACTATCAACATGTCCTAAATGAGAAGTCAATCATCTCTGCATTGACATGTGCTTTTTGTGGTTTAGATATTCAGATTGAGGTTTGCAGCTTTTCACGTGTAAGAGTTGGACTTATTTCTTCATCCGAGATACATTCTAAGACTAAAAAGTGGGAAAGCTTTGGGGGGGGATTTAGCGGCTGGCGTGCAGGAAGGGAGGTTATCTCGTCAACCCCCCAAAACCAAGTAAATCATTGCGTCATTTAGCTTCATAGCTGAAAGATCGACTTGAAAAGTGAAATCTCACTGATGAGTCAATGAAGATCAGCCCCATCGACACACACCTAGAGGTCTGCAACAAAGTGAACTAAACACACACACATTATCGACAGCTCTGGGGTTGTGTTGTTTTTGGCCCTGAGCCCAACAGGTGTCCCACAACACACACACACACACACACACATATCTGAACTTACAGTACCTTTCTGTCTCTTCACTGCACTCAATAGCGAGTCATAATTTAGATTTGACTTGTATTGTTGCTTTGTGGCTGCCTCTTCTTTCTCTCTCTTTCCCTTCAAAGCCCTGTCGTGAATTTTCAGCCTCTGCAATTTTCATCTCCAGTAACAGAAAGGAGCCAAAGAGAAAGAGAGATGACAAAGACAAGACAGGACTCCTCTCTTTCCCCCGGCCCTGTTATTGTACAAAATAGCCAAGCAATAGTTTTTTTTTTGTCATTGGTTTACTCCTAAAAGCCCATTTGACGTCGGCTCTGAAAAGAAAGCAATAAAGAAACCTTTTCAGTGGCGTTGAATGAGCGAGAGGAGGAGGAATGAATCCCTTTGGGACGTTGCGCTCACAGAGGCCATTTTTTATTGTCTTTGCTCTGGTAATCAAATGGAGCTGAAATGAAAATGGAGTTTTCTATGAAAATAGGGGCCTTTGTTGGCTTTGGAAGGCTAGTAATTCATAAACAATAAGCCGGCTCCTTTTGTTTGGGTTATAATATATTCCTGCTGCTCTGAAAGAGGTCTCTCTCAGCACGCACACACACACACACACACACACATTGAAGCCAGGGTAAAAGCCAAAGCGAGGCAGCAGGGGAAGAGAGAATATAAAAGGAGGCAGAGAGGCAGGCTTTCCCTTCATCCTCCTGGCAGAGTGAAGGCAGGATGCTCGACTCCTCACTCTCCAACCTTCACCTTTCTTTCTCTGGTCTCTCCATCTACCTCTTCCTCTCTGCTGTGACGAACACCCTCTCACACCTCTTAGTCTTTTCATCCCTGCAAAAGTCAAACTTTTAATGGTGTCGTCTCGGCCAGCCAACAGGTGTGTATGGATCGCAGGAAAGGATTTCTCAGAAGATCATTGATTTTATGAAATGATCAACGCATCTCCGATTCACCATTTCTTTCCTCATGCCATCTCTGGTTTTTGTATTTGTCACTAAATATTGGAGGATGACAAGAACACGAAGACACAGAAGAAGACAGGACGTGAGTGGACAGAAAACCTGCAACATCAGCAGCATGATGGGAGGACACCAGAGTCTCACTGAGCAAAAACAGGACTCATTCCTTTAAAATCTATGGACTTGTCACTGTTCGAACTTCAGTGACGCAACACTTCAGTGTGTGGGGAATAATGTGTCTGCGTCTTTTAACCCTTCAACCCAGAGAGAGGACAACAACATGGATGTTTTGCACATAATAGAATGACTTGATGGAGGTTTGTGCCGTCCAATGGGGCTATTTACAGTAAATTTACCACATAAAAAAAAGGAGATATAACTTAATATTTACGCCTGAATGAGGTTGTTGTTGGACCTCAAAACAACAACATCGTCCCTTGTTGTCTGGAAATCAACCTGATGTATCTGCAGACACAACCTTCCTCTGAAGACACTTGAAGTATTGTCATACTTTACACCTTCTGGAGCAAATGAACTTTGTGGATGAGAACTTGGGCACATTTACATGCATATGGATATTTACATATATATGGATTTAGATCGAGCCAACACGATGTAAGTACAGCATTGTGCATATTTCATACCGTACTTTAATTTCAGTCATTAGAACTCTTATTTCTTCAGTTGTGTGTGTGTTTTTAAATCTCATTTGATGTGGCAGGTTACAAGTATGACAAATTAAACAAGTTCACTTAATGGTTTTTGCCAAATATGTTTTGGAGGATATGTAATGTTGTGTCGAGGTGGTCGTGGAGGAGAGTGAGTGAATGAACACGCTCCGAGTCAGTGTTGACGTATATTAATAAATACCACAACCTTTCTAAGATATTAAACAAGTGTTGTGAGCATAACCATGAAAACATGAGTCATGCTTATGTTGCCTGAAAGTGTACTTAAAAACAAATGACTATTTTTGCAGATCGAATAAACTGTGACATATTAGTTCTAGCAGACGTGTGCAGCTATTTTTAAGCTGCCACTCTTCAGTCATGTGACATGTGGTGCTATGTGGGCGTGTCTTTGAACGAGTGCAGGAGGCAGTAGCACTCTTATGATTACAGAAGGTGATGGCTGCACACGTCTAACATCTCAGTTTATATAGTAATAGTGGGTGATTTATTTAGAACATAAACTGCTGTAGCACTATAAATAAAAGAATCCAGATTACATTATTACCCACCGACCTGTCTAAGTATATAAAGATAGAGGGAGAGACCACAACAGAATATTTATCTGGTAACTGTCACAGTCAGTTGGATCAGTTGCTCTCAGTCGGTCGAGCAGTTCATCTTTTTTACTTTGATGTATTTAACTGCCACTAGTTGTAATTTATGTTAAAAAATGATGTCTTCATATTCAATATTTACACCTGGAGAAAAAGCTTTCTGTTGCTGCCAGCTGCTCTGATCTAAATCTTTAAATTGCACCGTACGAGATTATAGCTTTGAGATAATTCACATCTGTAGTCCCCTGGCAGTTGGTCGGCTCTTGTTCTTTATGTCTTTCTAATAGTAGACAGATGTTCAGAGGCTGAGTGAGGTGGATATACAAACTCTCTGAGTTTATGTGTTGCATTGTTAGAATAAATATGTGTTTTCTACCTCTGACAGCCGGGCTTCCTGCTGCACACTGGAGTTCCAGCTCGGTTCACTCTTTTAAATGGGTTTGTTTTGGTGTTTATTATGAAGTAAGGGGTTTTTGTTCGATGACGGGCCCAGCTGGGCTCCCACTTAATAGCCGGTTCAGCTGGTGGAAATGCTGGAGAGGTTAGATGTTGTAGATGTTCAACAAAGGACCACTTATTGTAATTGCTGCATTCCCTGTTTCTTGTTCCAGCCTCACTTAAGAACATAATAACTTGCTTTTACGAGTGGCTAAAGAGCTGTATACGTCTGTCACATGTCTGACAGTCACTACTTGGAAAAAGAGTGTTATTTATTAGACTCGAGAGAGAATGAACTTTATTTCTGGAAACCTCTTATGTGAAACCCAACATCTCCTGTTGGTCTTGTTGTACAGTGTGAGCAGTCTGAAAACATCTTTATATTAACTGCAGGTCATTGATGTAAAGCAGACAGTTAGACTCAGTTTTATTACACAAGTACAGGACGTCTTTCCTGTGAGGCAATAAACCGATGACAGTTTAAATGGACTATCACAATATAAGTCATGTCATATCTAGATAACTATATATATATATATATATATATATATATATCACAATGTAGCATGTTTTCTAATTCAATAAATAAGAAGTCTATATGTAATAACCACGTGGTAAAGACCATTTTTGTAGTCTCCTGTGATTCAAATACATGACAAACAAAAAGTACAGTTTCTTATTTAATTAACAGCTTTAGTGTAAAACGAACAATAGTTTCAAGTGACATTAAAGAGGCGTCTAGTTGATGCGTCACATTTCCTTTAAAGTCATGTAGTGTACGTACCATCTTCTGTGGTACTGATGAATACAATCCTAGATAAAAAACAAGCTGAACGAATTGATTTGACTCATCATCCCTGATTCACATGTTAATGTTGGAAACAGTGATGAAGAAATGCTGTAAGTCCCGATATCACCACTAGAGGGCAGCACAGTCTAACAAACACAAACGCAAGTCACATTTGACTTTCATTTTCAGTTTTCTTACATATAAATGTACATTTTGTCCCCAACAGGTTATTAGATATAAGTTATTCGATTTTTAAAATGTAATATGCACGTGAGTAAATATTTAGTGCTTGATTTAGTCACCTTACACATTTATAACATACTACCCATGGAACATGTCATCAAGCTGAAATAAAACTATTATTAACCATTTTCTTTAAACAAGGTGCAGAGACCATCATCAGTGCAAGCCCAAATAAAGTTAAATAAATGGTATTTATTGCTAAGGGGGCAGACGGACCTCCATAGTTGATTTGACCCATATTAGCCATATTATATTCTCCTGTGATGAGAGCTCTGCTTCTTCAACTTTTCTCTAACTCGCCTTGAGAAGGTGAGGCTCCTCCTTTCTTTAGTGCAGCGATGAAGAATGTAGAAAGTCTCCACTAGAGGGAGCCTGATATCCACCTTTGAACTGTTGATTTAAACCTCAGAGAGGCCACTGATGGATGGACAACTAGTCCCCTGTGTGTGTATAAACTCTTGTGTGTATAAGGCCTGCAAACAGCTGTTTTCCAGACACCATCTGACCATGTCCAAAACCCAAAGCCTACTTTGTCTCATGTGATTGTGCGTCCCGGTTGTGGTGCGTCTAACAGGCAGAAACAGCAGGAGGACGTGATATGAGACACAAAGACAAATACAAATGATGCACAGCACTACTTTCACTTGCTGTAGTTGAATAATTAAATTACCAATCGTTTGATATTTAATTTGAGGGGGAAAAGTCATTTATTTGGTGATGAAAGTTCACATTTGAAGTGTTTGTTAAAATGTTTTTTAAAGGAAAATTCACATTTTGAAAGACAGTTAATTTACAGGAGATTTTATTTCCCTGATCAAATGTGTGCAGAAAGAAAAATGTATTTAGGATATTTTAATTTTCAAAATAACGTGCAGGAAATAAAATGCTCAAACCAAATTCCCAACATGATCTGATTGATTTAATGTAATTTGGCTCATTTAGACACAAAGAAAGGAAACCTGACATTCAACATGTTTGACCAAGTAACCTACAAATAATAATCTGCTCATGTTGCTCGTGTTCTAGAAGCGGAGAGATTAAAATATAAAGAGGCAGATATCACGTCCTCCCTCAATGCGGGCGCTGTGCCATTAGCTCTGCTGTTATTTAGACTAACTGTACCATAATGGCCAAACAAGCTGGAGTGGAATAAAGACTGCCATTATGTGAGCGCAGAGTCTCGACCTGTTGATGCGCCATTAGCTTCACTTCTCAGATGTGACCGGATTGTTGGCCTGCGTTCTAAGACGGGAGGAGACAAATAAGATGGGAGATAGCGGTGCCGTGATGCTGCAGGAAGAGTCCGAGCTGTGGCTCTTTTGATGTGGGAGGAAACTCGACAACACTTTTGCATTTAGTAACCGTTTTGCAATTAAAACACATTTAGAATAAGCTGTCAAGGAAAAAGGAAAGAAAGAAAGAATCAATGCAGCCATCATTTTATTTTTATTCACATGTATTTTTCTCTTGAGTTATAGCAGATAAGAAAGAAAAAAAAACAAACTAGAATTTCATTTACAGATTTCAATTTAAAATACATTCAAAGATGATAAACGTTTAGGTAAAATAAAGCAAAATGAAAAGTCTTTACCCTTAAACTATTTATTTACCCCTAATGAATTCTTGATACTGCATTATTGAGTAGTTGTAAACAAATGTAAAGACTATTTCTAAGTGTGAACTATCTGTCGCCGTGTGTCAAACACATGTAGAAATCATCCACAGGCAGCTTTAAACTGTTCCAAACTCAGGGAGACTGAAGTGAGACAGTGCTGCAGAATCACTGTTCTTCTATCACTGTTGTGGCTTTTTGATGCAACGTTAAGCACATTGAAGAAAATGCTCATTGCTTCATGATCCCAATGTCGTCCATACCTGCAGAATATCGTAATTGCGCGCATCTTTTTCTACTTTTGGGATTTGCGGAGGAAAGAAACTGGCGTGAGATTTTCAAATAGCCCAAATGTCCACAAAAATAACCTTTTTAAACACAGGTCAACCCCGCTCTCCTAGCTCAAGTTGATATTTCACTAAAAGAGGGAAGAGCAATGGTAAACAAACAGCTTCACTGTAGAATTCAATACAACTAGGAAATCTACCACCAGCACGACAGCACTGGAATTGTACTTAAGTGGCGTATAGCGTTGCGAAGCATTTGCAGAAAAAGCCGGGACCAGTGGGATACGAGAGCCTTCCTGTGAACGGAATTGCCTCAAAGTGCCAGGCCGCATTAATGTGATGGATATCCGCCATTCTGCATTCATTCTCCACGCAGTAAATGTGGGAGCTGACAAACAGATCCTGGTGAGAGGGCCTCCAGCACAGAGCAGGCGCTCGCTGCCTCTAATGCATTGACAAATATAGCCTGGGTTCAAGTACATTTATGTAAAACCAGCACAAACAGACACACCTTTCCTTAACCCAGTTTGTGATCTTCCCTACAAGAGAATAGCTCAGTCCTCTCCTCGCTCAGGTTTTCTGTGACCAGGCTTGTGTCACTTTATTGCATTTTTAATCACAATCCAATCTGAGCTTGTAAAGAAGGCACCTGACTTACAATTAGCTAGTTTGTCGGATAAATAAAATCTGTATTTGTTATCCCGCTGGATGATTGTTATTGTAGTACAGTCATTTCTTAAAGAATACAATGCATGACTTTAATATCTATTTGTTTAGATCTGATTATTGATGAAGGAAACTTCTACTCAGCATTTGAAGGGGTATCATTTAGTGTGTCTGGTTTTAATATTGCTTTGCAGTCTGCTGGCTTGCATGAGACAAATTTTAAAAAGCTGAAAATATCCTGATTTTTAGTGGGTCCTGATCTTAAAAATACGCCCATAATGCAACTCAGTAACG